CCTCTGCACTCCACTTATATCGCCTCAAAGTCTCTACAGCTCTCGGCCTATGGAAGCCGTCCAACACTCCACGGTCCTGCTCAGGGGAATTCCACAGTACCAAGCCAATGTGACCTCCAAAGCTAGGGATCACATCGGGAATCACTGGTCCACCTGAACACATCGGAGACTCGGCTGTAAGAAACCACGACATATCTTTCCTCGTGGTCTTCCTCTTCCTATTTCCATCTCCGCCATCCTCGCTACTAGGTCTGGACGCATAGCGTCCATCGGGCCCACGGAAGTGGGAGGAGGCAGTAGAAGATACCCCGACCCGTGCCGTCTTCCCCACGCCTAAATCAGCTTGAGGTGGGGCATCCCCAGCCTCAGCATCACCAGCACCATCAACAGCATCATCAACAGCAGCATCACCAGCAGCAGCACCAGCATCTGGGGCATTCCCAACCTCAGCATCACCGTCATCATCATCATCCTCGTCAATGGAATCACTCCAATTAGCCTGCCATACCGGTGCGGTATCTGGTGTAGGAGTACTGGTAGTGCCTCGACTAAGAGACAACTGCCCCACAGTAGGGTGGCCGTCAGGACGCACTACATCCGCCTTCTTCTTCCTTCTAACCTTAGGTGGATTTTTTTCTTCATTTTCCTTCCTACCAGTCGCCGTAAGTCTACAAGCACGACCCTCCATTCTCTCCTTATTTCTCGCCTTAATCATATCCGGTTTACCCATTCCATGTCCAGACATCTTCAAAAAAAAGTTTGAATTATTAATAATGGAGTACATAAAGTAATTAATTTAAGATTTTCATAATTAAAATTATAAAACTAATAGTTTTAACATTTATGTTACGTTCTATGTAATAATTATTTACTTTTTAATCAAGGTAAAATTATTAATAATTAAGTAGATAAACGAATTACTTTGAAATTTTGATTATTAAAATGATAAAAACACATTTTTAATTTTTTTATAATGTTCTTTAAATTTGTTATCTTTAAATAACAATTATCGAATACGATTTTAATTTTTTTTTATATAACTAAATTATAACTAAATTAACATTTATCGAATACGTTATTATTAATTATCATTATAACTAAATTAGTATTTATCAATAATATAACTAAATTCTTTTATTATGTATATTTTTTTAATTTTTTTTATTATTATTAACATTAAACACAGAATTTAAAAAACAGAATTTTAAAAAAAAAAAGCCGAACCGCGGTCAACGCGCGGTTTGACCGACGGTCAACCGCGGTCAACGCGCGGTTGGACCTGCGGTCAACCGCGGTCAATGCGCGGTCCGACCAGCGGCTGACCGCGGTCAAAGCGCGGTTTACCCATCGGTCAACCGCCCTTTGACCGCGGTCAGCCGCTGGTCGGACCGTGCGTTGACCGCGGTTGACCGCAGGTCCAACCGCGCGTTGACCGCGGTTGACCGTCGGCTCAACCGCGCGGTGACCGCGGTTCGTGCAATTTTTTTTTTTTTTCTTACCTTCTTCTCCACGCGGCTGGAGGCGACGGGGCGGCGACGGGAGGCGACGGGGCGGCGACGGGAGGCGACGGGGCAGGCGACGGGAGGCGACGGGCGGCGACGGGGGCGGCGGGCTGGCGGCGGGAGGCGACGGGGGCGGCGGCAGGGGGCGGCAGGGGGCGGCGGGCTGGCGTCGCCGGCGGTGGCAGGGGGCGGCGGGCCGGCGGCGGGCTGGCGTCGCCGGCGGTTGAGGGGGAGGGAGTGCAGAGGTGAGGAGTTGGGGGGAGGGGGAGGGAGAATGAATTTTTGAATTTGCCTTAAGGGCTTGTTTGTTTTGAGTTTTTGCTTAAGGGCATGTAGGTAATTTTATATTTTAGTTAGGGCGATGTTTAGCAATTCTTAGGGCGACATTTAGCGATTCAGTAGATTAATACAACAAAACTGCCCATCACATGACGAGATCTGATTTATCCTCGGTTCCTGAGCTTGTGGTCAACTTCCTCATGGAGAATCTAACGAGGAAGACAAGGAAAGCCGCCAGCCAAACCTCTTCTTCCCTCAGCCACATCTTATAACATCATCACTAATAGTACCCATCCACATTCCCACACTAAATTCAATACTCTCAACCATTTCCTTTCATCACCGCCGACAAAAATGGCCCCCGCCGCCGCCGCCGCCGGCAACGAGGGAACCAATAAAGACCACATAGTCCTCATCCCATTCATGGCCCAGGGCCACATCATCCCCTTCCTCGCCCTCGCCCTCCACCTCGAGCAGCGCCGGAACTGCGCCGTCACCCTCGTCAACACCCCTCTCAACATCGCCAAGCTCCGCCGCTCAATCCCGCCGTCCTCCTCCGTCCGCCTCCTCGAGATCCCCTTCCGGAGCTCCGACCACGGCCTCCCTCCGGGGACCGAGAACACCGACTCCTTGCCGTACGACCTCATCCTCAAGTTCCTCATCTCCTCCCTCCGCCTCGAACCCGCTCTGTCCTCCCTCGTCGCCGACCTCGCCGCTGGCGATGCCGGCTTCCCGTCGCCGATCTGCATCGTTACCGACATGTTCTTCTCCTGGTGCGCCGACATCGCCCACCGGTACGGGATCTTCCACGCCGTGTTCAACGCCGGCGGAGGGTACGGATTCGCCTGCTATTACTCCCTCTGGCTCAACCTCCCGCACCGCCGGGAAAACTCTGTTTCCGACGGCGGCGAAGCAGGGGAAGAAAAAGACTCTGTTTTCGAGGAGTTTACCCTGCCTGATTTCCCGGAAGCGTCGACGCTCCATATCACTCAGCTGCCCCCGTTCCTCCAATCCGCCGATGGATCCGACCCGTTTTCCGCTTTCCAGCAAATCGTCCTCTCGAAATGGGCGAACGCCGACGCGATTCTGGTCAACACGGTGGAGGGATTCGACGGATTGGGGCTGGATTATTTCCGGAGGAAGCTGGGTAAACCGGTGTTTCCAATCGGACCGGTTCTGCTAACAAATTCCCCAACCAAAACAGAGACCGGGATGACGAATTCGCCGGAGATCTGTAAAAATTGGCTCGATTCGAAACCGGCGAGATCCGTTCTATTCGTCTCGTTCGGGTCGCAGAACACGATTGCGGAAGCACAGATGAAGGAGCTAGCAGTCGGATTGGAAGCCAGCGGGACCAATTTCATCTGGGTAATCCGTCCCCCGTTGGGATTCGACATCAATTCGGAATTCAGAGATGAAGATTGGCTGCCGGAGGGCTTCCCTGAGAGAATCGAAGCGTCGGGGAAAGGATTGTTGGTGAGGAGATGGGCACCGCAAGTGGAGATACTGGGGCACGAATCCGTGGGCGGGTTTCTGAGCCACTGCGGGTGGAACTCGGTGCTGGAATCGCTGAGCTGCGGGGTTCCGATTCTCGGGTGGCCGCTGGCGGCGGAGCAGTTCTACAACTCGAAGGTTCTGGAGGAAGAGATTGGGGTTTCTGTGGAGGTTGGGAGAGGGAAGGAAATTGTGGTTAGGAGTGGGGATTTGAAGGATAAGATTGAGATGGTTATGGTGGGTGGTGAAAAGGGGAAGGAGATTAGGAGGAGGGCTAATGAGATTAAGGAGATGATTAAGGATGCGGTTAAGGAAGATGGGGAGGGAAAGGGTTCGTCGGTGGAAGCCATGGATGAGTTCTTGAATGCTGCAGTGGTGTTCAGAGGGAGGAAGATTAATGGCGGGAAATCTGAGGCTTGATTTAGTAATTTTCTAGTGTGTTAGTCAAATAAAGAATAAGTTGGTTTCTGTGTAATTTTGCTTCATCAATTTTAGACAGTTGGGTTGATCCTTTTATTCCTTTGGATTAAAGTCGTTATGCGATTTTCTTAACCGTTTTTTTCCCCCGCAATGTCAGTGTTGAAAGAAAGTTATAAGGAGGAAGAAAGAAAAGAGCGAGAGTCGACCAATAGTTGAACTCTCGATGAGAGGGCCTTTTGTGCCACATGATGGGCAGCCCTATTGTGTTGACGGGACACAAAACAGTAAGAGATACTGCTAAACGATGAAGCCAAGCTCTTAACATCCGCCAAAATAGCACCTCCCCGATCATGATGCAAATCACCGCCAACCATCCGCCGGATTAAAATTTGAGAGTCCCCATGCAAAGAAACAGCAAGAAAAGAATGGGTTAGACACCACTGCAAGGTATCACGCAAGGCTAAACATTCCATAATAAATGGATCCTGAATTCCATCATAATATTTGCCAAATGCAAAGAGCACATTACATGTCTCATGAAAACCTACGAAACCGATACTACCTCCTTGGCCACGCTTGGCTACCCCATCAAACCAAACATTAATAATGAGAGAAATTCCAGAGGTCAGGGATGGCCCAACACGAGCTGATGCGGCAGGGAGAGGAGAAGCCCTACGATGAGACTGAGGTGGAGGTGCCTGAGTAGCCTCCCTCCACTCGTCCACTTGGCGTCGATACTGCCGAAATAAAGCATGAGGGAGATACTGAATGTGATCGTGAACCGCCCAACAACGTCCCTTCCAAATTCTCCAAAGAATGAAAACAATGTTAGCCAGTTCGAGTTTGGACAAGTTCATTAGTGGGCTGGAGTTTCCCGATCATTTTCTCTCTGGCCCAACTTAAATCTGTCGGACATGGATCCAGCAACTCTTTTGGGCCTAGCTGCTAACGCAAAGCTGATGCATCCTCTTCAAGGAGCACTAGGAACTCCTACTCTCCAACTAATCTTCTACCAATCGAATTGTACCCAAGACTAGAATATGTCAAAAACAAAGAAAATCACAATGACTCTTATAACTTTTTTTTTTTTATACGAGGAGAAATCTATCTTGCGACGCTAAACTCCGGCTCTATAAATATCCGCCAAACTTTTTTTTTTTGTGAGAGATATCCGTCAAACTTTGAGAGTATCATATTAACAATTTTGTATACCCAAAAGAATTAGAATCAACTCTGTTGTAACGGAAAAGGAAATCGGCAAAGTGACCACACAAATTTATGTGGGTTACTAATATGATGTGTGTTAGGTAATGTACTGGTTGGAGATACCAGTTTCATTATATCTGGGGATATACAGCTTACAAAAATTGAAAAAATATATATATAACAACACCTTCTCCAGGAAGCCCTCCGTAACTTCTAACCGACAACAAATAATTTATATTCAACTAATAGCAACAAACTCATCATGAATCCATAAGTTAATGAGATACTAACTTTCGTTATTCATAATAACAGTTTATAATGTATCAAAAAACAATCTTAAGTGAATCACAAATTCGCCATATAAATTCGAACACGAAATATCCAGTATTAACACCAAATTTATGTGATTTCAACTAGAAACGTTAACACCACGGGAGTGACCATAAGAACCCTTGTACCTACACAGAACCTTACACCTCAAAACCCTCCCTTGAACATAAAACCCAGGCATCACCATAACCTTAACCACCTTGCTCGAACCACCACCACCACCATTTCCCGCCCTTTCCCTAGACACTTCCTCCATGTACCTCGGATCAAACCCCCTTTCCTCCTCCACCCTCAAGATCCCGATCGCCGGATCGAACGAGAACGCGAGCAGGTGAAGCAGCCACACGCACTTCGCCGCCACGAAGAACGCCTGCAGCAGCTGCTCCGGCCACGGCCGCGTCCAGTTCAGCGCCGCGATGATGCAGCTCATCCTCTGGTCGCAGAACTTGCTGAACTCCTCGCTGTAGTACTTCGTCCCCTTCCTCAGAACCTCGTTCCAGCTCAGGTTCCGCAGCGAGACGAAGGATTGGAACTGGGCCTGCCGATCCTGCTGCGGGTCCAGGTGCTTCGGCGCGCCGTTGTTGTGGAATGCCGAGTTCTCGAAGTCCTGGTGCATCGTGTCGTTGATTATGGATTCCAGGTGGTAGAGTATCGTCTTGGGATGGTTGGAATTGAGGGAGAGCAGGGTTTCGATCAGTGGGGAATCGGCGGTGTCGTCTTCGATTTGGGAGATTAGGGCTTTGCAGAATTGTTTCACTGAGAGTCTGGATTCGGCCACCATTTGGAGGAACCCTTCCACCATTGCTTCGTCCGTCACTGGGAGAATGGATGGATGGAGATTCGAATTGTTGTTGTTTTGTGCGTACCCATCGATTGATTTGGCTCGCCCTTTGGATCTCGTGGCGGATTTCAGAGCCTTCTTCAGCTCCTCGCAGTAGCCCTCCAGGTGTTCGATCTTTTGCCTCAGTGGGCCTAACGAAGCTCTCGTCTCCGCGACTTCTGTCAATGCTGCGTCCCTAGTTTCATTCGATTCCCTCAACTCCCTCCGCAGATTCTCGATCGACAGCAAACCCAGTTCCCCGAATGCCTGCGAGGCCTCCTCGGACTCTGCTCTCACCGGCGAAGTAGTAGCTGCGTTCTTCGTGGGCTTCTTCCTCAGCCTCGGAAACAGCCACGACATCATTCCTTTGCTCCTCGGCTGAGACTGGACGGAAGCGTGGGAATCCGTCAATGGAACTACGATGTTGGAATGAATCTTGCTCTTTCGATTCTGAGCTTCGAAGTCTGCCATTGCGCGGGAACGGTTGTTGCAAGAGGATGACGATTTGAAGTCTGCAAAGTTTAGTCCTCTGCTTGATTTGTAGAGCTCTGCTGCTGTCGTCGTTGTTGTTACTCCACCGCCGGGGGAACTATGGAGAACTGTGATGTTGTTGATGCAGGGTCCGGTGACGGATTTCTGATCGTCGGCGGAGTGGATCCCTTTCTCCTTCTTGAAATCAGACAAAACGGTCTCGTAGCTCATTGTCCCTCCACCTCCTTCTACGCCGCATTCGTCCCAGCTTTCTGATGCTGTTCTTGACTTGGCCGGCATTGAGTACTGAATCCCTGGAAATGGCTCATCCTCGTAGCTCTGTGCATTGAAAGTTAAATTCGCTAAGGTTCATTTCTATCTCAATAAGTTACAATCCATTACATCAACATCAAAGTAGATAAATTTAAGGCACGAACACATTAAATTATTAGGACAATTAGTACAGATTATGCAGTTAACAATTCACATAATGACAGATGTTAAAGAAAAAGTCAGAAAACTGAAGTTATATGTATAATCATTCAGCCAATGAACTCGAAAGTTCAAAACTTTTTCTCTAACTTAGAAGCAACATCTATCTAGCTACAGGGGATTGGTGAAAAAAACAAAAAAGGAACCAACTTTACTTAAACAGAACATTCAATCTATCCTGGGTTCAATTTTTGCAGCAGGAGAAGAAGACTGACCGGAGTGAAGACGGGATAATCTTGCGCGGAGAACTGTGGAAGAGGGCGGGAAGAAGCAGGGGAAGAAGAAGGAGGTGGAAGGTATCTGAGATTTGCAGCAGCAGCAGAAGAAGGGCTGCTAGTAGTAGTTGTAGTTCCTTGAGTCAAAGCGGCATGAAGAGCTCGAAGCTCCACTGCTTTAGCAATGGCGGCTTGGACTTCCTGTCTGTTGATTTCCCCTCCTCCTCCACCGCCGTTGCTGCTGCTGTGGTGGTGGTCGTCGAAGATTTGATGGATGGAAGAAAGAACGGCGGAGGCCATGAAAGGAGAAACAGAGTACTATTGGGTTGGAGCATGTAGAAGCTTGAGAAGCCGCAAGGGATAACTAGAACAACAATCCAACGGCTGTATTGGGTTTATCAAGAAATGGGTTCACAGGATTGTTTGATTGTATGTAAGGAGGTGAACAAGAGAAGAGAAGGTCTGTAATCCAATGAAGCTTTTTGTTTTTTGTTTCTTTTGTCTGTGAGTCGAATGGAGAGGAGAGGAGAAGAATGTTGGCATGTGAATCTCTCGAGTGTGGAAGAATAGAGATAGAGGAAGTAGAGATGGAGAGAGAGTTCCAACTTCCAAGTTGTGGTTTCCTACCCTATGCTGGGTGTAGGCAAAGGATGGGAGGAGCCGAGGAGGTGTGTGTTGTTTTACCAAACTGCCCATGGATTTTTCAGAATAGCCAACACAAAAGAGAAACTTTTAGAGAGTCATACTGCCTAATTTACCAAGCTGCTTACTCTAATGGATTACAAGAACGATATTACACCCCAATTTAGTATCTCAAGTATTGGGACTCACTACGGTAATTTGGGTATAATTTTAAGTTAGGTAACTTGATTAAATTTGAACTATTAAAGTATATCCTCATCACTTTAAGTCATTGATTACACAATATGTATAATAAAGTTTATTGTAGCATGTTGGTGTATAATCGAAACTAGTAAACATGTGGTACATGGTTCAACTCTCATGATGGGTGTTTATGTTTGAGGACATGTGTGAAAATACTGAAAATCGATTTCTGATTTAACCGACTTGTATTCTTGATTTTGACCATCTTTGATCAAGAGTGAATGTCGGCGCCTCCAAACGATTTGATGACCTGTACAGGTTATATTTGGTTGAACCGGTCGACAAGAAGCCAGCGTGACAACCATGCTTGCAAAGGAAGGAGATACACATATCTGAAGCCGCACATATGTGATAGACAAACCAAATTATTAAGTCCATCAAGCAGAGCAAGTGAGCATAAGTCGAAATTGCCATCCTTCAAGGGTAAAGTTTCAGTGACCAAAGATAACAATGCTTCTAAAGTTTGAACTTGAATCATTCGTTAAACTCGAAGAGCTTATTGCCCAATAATATGTATTTCTTGTGATAATCATAAATGTATGAACACAATAGAATTTCCCATCTCTTTAAAGTTGAGAAGGCTAATAATTATCAAACAAACATCATGTTCTCTAGTCATCATATTCATTCCTTGATACCTTATATCTACTAGTTCTTAATATTGTACAATAAAAAGAAAGAAGAAGATAATGGGTGGTGCCATTGTGGGTATGATTGCTACTATGTACTTGAAAGTTGAATCATGAGGGAGATGATTCTTGTCCAACCAGCAACCCACCACTCCACTTCCTTCCTACCAAGTACCAAAGTTTATGAAATCCTATCCTACCGTCCGGACCGGAAATACCGGATAGGCGATTTTAGCGATAGGAAACGATTCAATCATGGTTAAACCATGATTTTAGTACACAATACCCTATCACTCATTTTTTCGATATAACCTCCGATACAATTTCTTGAACCTTGCCAAGTACCAACAAATACACCAAAAACCCCAAAGTTCACAACCCCACCTAATCCCATGGTTTGTGGCTCTCCATGACATGAATTATTATTCTCTAGTAGTATAATCCTAATCATTCCTACCCCCATAACACTATTGCTTACCATGCAATCATCACACACGAACTAGTGCTTCATCTTGGTGGGTTGCCCACTTCTTTGGTTCCATTCAAACAACCAATCCCCACCTTGCCATGGCTTGTCAATACACCCTTGAAAACCCAACATTTTATGTGTGATGTGAACTTTTGTATTGCTCATAATTGATTTAAAGATAATTGAGTTGAGGGAAATTGATAAATTTTCTCAAAACACAAGCTAAAAAATTACATTTATCGAGTCTTTTTGCTTATAACGATTCTTTTAATTTAGTTTCTATCCATTGAAATTTTATGAATAACACAATGTATGAAAGAGAAATCAAATACCCAAATTTATTGACTACAACTATTAGTTTAGTTCAACTCAAGTCAGATAAGGTCATTAGAATTATAAAACTCTCGAGTACGACCAAACTTGATCACATAGTTAATCTAGTTCAAACCAAATCACATAAGATCATTAGAACTATGGAAATGAAACTCTCTGAACGCGATCAAACATGAGCAGAACACAAACACTTAGCAGCTGGCTTTCTTGTGGAGTTCTAACGCTCTAACAAAACTTTCATAGTACATAGGTGATAGGTCCTTCCAAAACATTTTCATTTGTCTTCACCCACTAGGCTAGCTTTCTCCAATCTAATCCAACTGTGTTTTTGGACCAAGATTTTTATGATTTTATTCTTCTCTTGGTGTTGTTTATAAAGATAGCTTTGCATGTAAATCCAAGGAGAAGGTACATTATTTCTGTCATATAGTTTTGAGGTTTTTTTTTTGGGTATTTTAGTGAGTATAAGAAGGGTATTATCCAGATAAAAGAAAAGAAAAAGAAAAAAAAAGAAGGGTATTATCATGGAACCATGGGAATGGAATTCCCAGTAGGATCAAGAAAAAGACATGTGGGAGGAAGAGATTAGTTATCTTTTGGCATTTCCAAATGGGTTAATTAATAGTTAATGCTACTTTGGCCTTTAAGTATAGATATCATATTCTTCTATTGTTGTGTTTTTTTTTTTAAAACACCCATCTTTATTTGTTGAACCTCTTTTATGACTTGTGACCTAACCAGCAACCACTACCCCAAAAAAGGCTACCATGGTTTTTCCAACCTCCACATGCTAAAGCTTTTTCTAGTTTCATTTGTTTAATCATAAACCCAACACCCACGCCAACATGAGTCATGGCTCTCTGTTATCTCCTCTTTCTTTTTTGTCATCAAACCTATGGGAAAATTACATACTTAGAAGTTAATTTTTCTTTGTTATTTATCTCTTTCGTTTGTCTGAAATGTAAATCGTATCAATACAAATTTTATTGGATCTTTTTGTCTTCATGGTTTTGAAAGTATTCTGTCTGAAATCCCACCATAATGAACATTATCTCTCAAACAATATCTTCTTATGGTGATCTATATCCTCAAATACTTCAACCTTCGAGTTAGTTGGATCGGCAGAGTCCATACTCTCAAAAAGTCTCCACTCATATTGAATTTTGATTCATACCTCATTACTCTAACTTTTCACTCTGTCTACATTGTCTAACAAACTTCTCACTTCTAAAGGGAAAACCCATTATTAGTAGAATTATAATTTTAATCACCATGTGTACTAAACATTCAACAAATTATATTGGTGGTGGCTTCTACTTGCATCGTTGAAATTCATTGTTGATGCCCCAAGCTTGCTGTACAGCTAGTCAGCTAGAGTTTCATATAACTTAAACAAAGAGGAAGGAGGAAGGATTAGGTAAATTAGCATTCACAAGAAACTTCTAGCTAGGGCAGGGAAGAATAAGGGGTCAAGGAAATTGGTTTTGTGGCTCCTCAATAGTATAATTATCACCAAGACAAAAAGGAGAGCAGACCATGATCTCATCAATAGACAATAATTAGTTCAAACTTTCAACTTTTTATTACTGAAACTTATGGTGATGATGTGGTAATCATGCTTAAAAGGGTATTTGGAACTTCTAATCAATCCAACAAAAGTGGGGAATGTTAACGAAAGTTTGTTCTTGTGTATGATTTAGGCCTTGCCACCTTTTTCTTGGTTATGTCGTTTTTGGGGTTGTTTTACTTGGTTGGAATTACATTTAGTGCAACATTTGAGATGTAATCATAGGCAAGGGGCCACAAAACCAAGTAAAACAAGATAGTTGTTCAACTTTTGGCAACTGTTGATTTGCGAACATGTACGGTGCATAACGGATGTGTGCACACTACCTTCAAGCTCGTTAGTTAACTTTTGTTCATGTATATAGGACGCGTATAAGAAAGCAATATAAGATCCATATATAGTTAAAAGTGTAAACCATTGTTCCTCATAACCCGCTACTCTTTCTATGGAAACAAGCTCATTAAACAGGTATCCTCTGCTGTACATTTAGGTTTTAATTCCCAATATTAATAAACTTGTATTACCTAAACTATAAAAAAACGCTCTAATTATTCATCCTCAAGCCTATGGATCGACATTGTTTCTACAATTGGATACTATAGGGTTCCTTGAATACTAGAGTTCACAGGCGGAATCACTCAAACGGTAGACTTTCAAGTCCCCTTTCCTTGTACACAAGGAAATGCTACAGAAATTTTGGCAACAAAAGCAAAAGAAACCATATACCCAACCGCACTAGCTAAGGCAAAGACCACCACCACAAACGACTATAAGGTTGTTTGCTTCAGACATTTGGAAACTAAAGATTTGGATAGAACTTGAATTTTGAAAAACCATGAATATATATAAAGATTTGGACAGCAGCTAATTGCCTTTCCATACCCGATCTTCTCATATATTGTTTCAGTTTTGTCCCTTTTCTCTTGTTCTTTACTCTCCAAGATTCCGATTCTGTGTTGCTTTCTTCACTCCATCATCATATATAGAAACATGCACATAGTCATGATGCAATGTGGTAATGTAGATCTGAATGTGGTTTGTTTATAATGGTAATGTAAATTATTGGTTACCATTTTGTTAACCAGCTATTTTGTGGCTAGCTAGGGTTAGGGTAGATAGTTTATAAACTTACATGCACACGTTAATTATCATAGGTTCATAGCTAGGGTAATTAACTAGTTGCCCCACGGGGAGCTATAAGCCTATAACCCTGTGGACCTGATTACTAGAAAACCCTAGTGGTAATAACTAATCATGTCTTGATTAGCAATAATTCAGCATTCTAGTTCCTTTTACCCCTTAACTACTACCCGTGAATTTGGCTTCTCTAACTAACTCACTGGCCTTGTTGCGGGCATGCATGGCTAGCTGGATAATTTACACAAGGCTTTACAAGGCTCAACAATTAAGTTTTTTGTGTTAGATTATGATGATTTGATTATCCTTGAGATTTGGATTACTTAATCTTGAGATTAATAATTAAACTAGGCTCCCTCAGAATGGGTTTGACCCTTGTGAGGTAAAAAATAAAGGCCAACCCAATTGATAGTCCAATGTAAAACATACTGGGCTACAATGGAACGAAGCCCATCAAAGCGTATCGCGTCTGGTACACTAAGGCCCACATATGGCAATCCGTGTGGCTCTTATTGAAATTAATCTCAACCGCTCATACACCCAAACAACCGACGGTCAAGATAGATTTACTGGAACCGCGAAAGGGAAAAGACTCCCATTGGTTGAAACTTGAAACCAACACACACCACGCGGATCGCAATCTCCAGCCGTCCAATCATCTCCCGAATCAACGGCAACGATTCAATCTACCACTTCTGGCGGAACCCACGAAAATTTTCAAAATTTCCCTCCTCCGTCTCCCCTGAAAACCGCCTCCCTATATATAACATAAATCCGCCGTTCAGAAACCTACATCTCAAATCAATTTGCTTCATCAAATCCCAGATCTCATTTTTATCTCCGATTCCCACAAAAAAGATGGCTCGCACGAAGCAGACAGCCAGGAAATCCACCGGCGGGAAGGCGCCGAGGAAGCAGCTGGCGACCAAGGCGGCGCGGAAGTCGGCCCCGGCGACTGGAGGAGTGAAGAAGCCTCACCGATTCAGGCCGGGAACCGTGGCGCTGAGGGAGATCCGCAAGTACCAGAAGAGCACCGAGCTGTTGATTCGGAAGCTTCCGTTCCAGAGGCTGGTGAGGGAAATCGCCCAGGATTTCAAGACGGATCTGAGGTTCCAGAGCAGCGCCGTCTCTGCCCTCCAGGAGGCCGCCGAGGCGTACTTGGTCGGATTGTTCGAGGACACTAACCTCTGCGCGATCCACGCCAAGAGGGTCACCATCATGCCCAAGGATATCCAGCTTGCCAGGAGGATCAGAGGCGAGAGGGCTTAAACAGATTTTAGTTTGTTCCAATGGGTTGTTCCTATGTTTTAATGTCTGGTTGTTTAGCGCTGTTTACTAAAGTATTTCTGGGTGGAATTCAGGATTCCTGTGTTTAGATTTAGGGTTTCTGGAGGAATTGAAGGTTGTAAATCTATTATGTTATGATTAATCCAAGATGGCTACTCATGTCTGGCCTAGTCCCACATAGTGAAGGAGATTCTCTCTCAAGTTTGCCCTTATTAAATCCTCCGAATTTGAGGCATGGTGGAAACTTTATTTACAAATTCTCAGTACCCAGATGACAAAAAAAGTCTTGGTAGTCCTGAGAAGGAAGAACTGAGAAAGGGAAATCAAAGGACCCAATACAGAAGACTGTACTCTGCTAAATCTCTCTGTAACTGCCAAGTTCTATCTTACAAGGAAAAAGATGGAGCGTTTCTGAGATTTGGAATGATCTGAGAAGAGCCGATCTTCGACCAGACTTGGAAGGACGATCCTAGCTTGGAGTGATGCCGTATTGAAGAAACGGTATCGTGTGCATCTTTTGCGAAACGGAGGATAAGTCAACAGACCAGTGAAGATCGAGTTCGAGAAGGAAACGGAGTATTCAAATTTCAGAATCTTATAATAGTGGGACATGGAGCAGATTTTCGACTCATTAGGGGGGAAACTATGGGTCTCGAGGACAATAGGGTTTTTTGGCTCTTCCACCTTGGGCTATCCGTCGTTCTCCCACTCTCCTGGTCGTCGTCCCCCACCACCACCATCGATGGTTACACATCCGCCACTGACGACGGCCATCTTCTCATTCCCGTCACCAGAAAACCACCACTCCGTTCAAAAGCAGATCGTCATGCCACCGAGAAAGCAGCTGGTGACCAAGGCGGCGCGCAAGTCAGCCCTCGACGACCGGAGGAGTGAAGAAGCCTTCACCGATTCAGGCCGGGAACCTTGGCGCTGAGGGCTTAAACAGAGCGTAGTTGTTTCGAATAGGTTGTTCAATGTCGGGTTTGTTTAGGGCCTATTTCTGCTTGTGATTTTCGGTTTTAATTTCCTAGAATTCAAAATTCCAGTGATTAGATTTATGGGTTTCTGAAGGAATTGAAGTTTGTAAATCTATTACCTTATAATCCAAGGTTGCTACACATGTCTTGCCTATTCCACATTGTGAAGGAGATTCTCGCTCAAGTTTCCCCTTAGATTTTGTGGTAAAGGCGTAAACTTTTTAACAAATTCTCACTGCCCAGATGTCAGAAAACAACCTTGGAACCAATGAGAGGAAGCAAAATGGGGTTGTGATCTTATGGGTTCGTAAGAACTGAGAAGGGGAAAATCTTGTTTGTATGCTCTGTTCTTTAAGCAACTAAACTGGGAATTGACAGGAAGATGAGTGAAAATCGAGTTCGGGAAGGAAAAGGAGTATTCAAATTTCAGAATCTTATAATAATGGACATGGACATGGAGCAGTTTTCGACTCATTAGGGGGGAAACTATGGCTCTCTTGGAGAAAATAGGGTTTTCTGGCTTTTCCAACTTGGGCTATCCGTTGTTCTCCCACTCTCCTGGTCGTCCCCCCTCCGCCATGGATAGTTACACATCCGCTGCTGTCGACGGCCATCTTCTCACTCCCGTCACCAGAAAAACCCCACTCCGTTCAACAGCAGACCGTCATGGCCCAATCAGCAAACTCGGAGACGATCTCCTCGTGGCGATTCTGAGTCGCCTCCCGAACGCTAGATCCGCCTTCCTGTGCAAATCCGTCTGCAAGCGGTGGAGCTCCCTCATCTCCAGCCCCCACTTCGGCCGCAGTTTCGTTTCTCACCGTCAACAGAGCAGGATCGATGGCGGCAGCGACGGAGACGGCGGCGAACTACCTCCTTTAACCTCACAGGACACTGAATTCATCTTGAGCTTTCTCCCCGTGCCTGATGAGATCCGATCCAATTTCGCACTTTTGGGTTGCTTCAAGGAATTCGTTTTATGCGGCTTCGTGGACTCTGCTGCTGCTGGGAATGATTGTGATGGCGAGATGGGTAGATTGTTCTTCGTCTGCAATCCGTTTACAAAGCAATGGGTCGCCCTTCCTCTGGCGCCGAAAAGGTCGGTCGGGTATCATAACAAATGTCTAGTCTGTGAATCCGGTAACTCAATGTCTGGTAACTTGGATTCTGGAGATGATGATGGCAGAGTATTTGTCAATCCCGCGGATTACAGTCGATTCCGCGTCGTCCTCGTATCCAGATCGCCTGACCGTGCAATAGTAGACTTGTTTTGTTCGGAGTCAGGGGAATGGCTGGAAGACGCCGCCATGGTTCCTCCTAATTCTTCTGGTTCTTCCATACAGATGATGCCCTTGTGGAACGGCCGCGTGTGTTGGCCGTACGATGACATGCTTGCTGTTTGTGTGTGGAATCCATTCTGCCCACACACACCTCCGACTTCCATCGACGAATCGCCGGACAACGTGGGTTATTTCTTGTGGTCCAGATCCTTGCCGAAGCGCAGGATTTGGGTCTCACTTGGTGCTTTACACATGGTTCTCCACAGACCAGATGTGGAGGCTTTGGTGATTTGGAGATGGGAGGAAGACGAGAGAAGATGGAGGTCAATTTATTGGGAGTATCTGACGAAATTCATAGTAAACCGTAACCTTGAACAATTCAAGGATTTGAAGGTGCGTGATGTGGTTGGGGTTCATCCGAGTAGGCCCGAAATCGTCTTCTTGGACTGTTTTTGCCCTTTTGATACCATTCTTGAGTGCAATATGAGGACGGAAAACCTACAAGTCTTCACTGATAGAAGGAATTGGAGGACGTTGTTCCAGCCGAGGTTTACTTGCTGGCCTTCCACAATTCCAGGCTACAAAGAAACTGCAGAAGTATGTACGATGGACTCCCTAAACAATAACTGGTGAATGGCATGAATTTCTTTCATTTGTTGTTTTTGCCTCTACAACTCATCACTTGGTGCTTCATGTATACAAAATTAACATGCCAATGAGCTGACCGGAGTTGCTAATGACAATCCAGTCCTATGTGTTAGAAACATAAATTCTGGCCCTTGTTGTTGTTTTGGATTTGATGGTCGTTTGGTCTTGTTTTGGATGTTTTGCAGGTTTTCTAGGATATTTTGGGTATTTTGGAGATAGACATTATTATTGGGTAGTTACAGAGAATTTACCGACTTATATATTCTGTGATTAGTGGGGTTTTATGAATTAAGAAATCACATAACAACATTCTCTAAACTTGGCCGTCGGCCTCCTCCCTCTCTTGGAGACCGACCGCTTTCTTCTTCCTCAAGCTTCCTTCTCCAAATCCCAATTTTCCTATTCTTTTCACTAAATTCCCAATCAACCGATCGTTTCCACTGGTGTGAACCCTAGCCGGACACGCCTAGTTCCATACTTCTACACCCTGGTAGCAATGTTAACTTATTGGCCAAAGAATCACCACAAATGACAACATTAGATGTTTTCCGTAATTAATAATGCTCTTTCTTGCTGTTAAACATTGATATTGTTGGTTCCTTTTCCGCGATTCTCTGTATGCTTGAGATTGCATCGGAAGGGGATTGAATGTACAACATTGACAAATTGTTGGCTTTGGGTATCTGTATGAGAAAATAAGACCGCACGGAAAGAGTGAATGTATTCTTCTGGACGGCCCATGGCTGTTTTTTCTCATCTGGGTACTGAGAATTTGTAAAAAAAAGTTGTTGCCTTTACCACAAATTCGATGCTTTAATAGCTTTCCCGCTGATAATATTCACGTTTAAAGCTTAAATAAAAAAAATATGGTTCTGTGTAAACCTAAAGCAAGAGTCTTTCCTAGTTCTCCAAGAAGTTTGGAGGTATTGAGATGATGTGGGACAGTGGGAGCACATATTTAGTGTTCAAAATCTTAAACAATTGTTAGTGTTAACAATTGCTTGGAGTACAAGACATCATAAGTCATAACATAGCTAAGTATTCCTTTTTTCCTTTGACCCGGATTGATGAGTTTGAATTTGCAAATTTGAGCCTTTACTATTCTACCAAAAAAGTGAGGTTATTCGGATGTGCTAAGTATAGGTTCTATTGTTTGAACTTTAGTTGTTATGACTTATGACCAATTGGTTTGAGAGTCGGCATAAATTGTTACTGATCAAAATGGGTATATTTTAGCAGGGTAATGTTAGAGAGTTACAGTTCAATTCTAGAAGAATACATATGTTAGAAGCACGCTTATTAATGTTTTACTATTTATTATTACTGTTAATTGTTAGGGTTAGGCAGCTAAGTGTGGCCAAGTAGGGTAGGGTATGTTAATTGTTAGGATTTTGAGGTTTATTTATCATAAATATATACTTTGGGTTTTAATGTTTTACAAATCAATCAATCAAATAAGTATTCAGAAAGTATCTCTCAACCCCTAATTCCTCTTTCAATATTCATCACCTATCCCTAGGCCGATCGGTCATTCTTCTCCTCAATGCTTAGTTTCCTCTTCCAATCCCTAATCCACAATTCCAGTCCACTCCTAAATCAATAATTCTTTTTTCTCAATTCCCAATTATCTCTATCAAATCCACAATCCACAAACCCTAAACTTACATGCCTAGATCCATGTTTCTTACAACATAGGTATCTTACGTATGAAAGAACTAAATGCAATTTGCAGAACACAAGGCTTGATTATGATTTGTCTGTGTATAAGATTTGTACATACACAAGTCTAACTGATTCCACCTGTCTTAATCTTTTGCCTTAACTTATATCGGATCTGTTATGCGACAATCCAAGTACCACATCGAAAATACAAGTGAAGTGACCCTTGTATACAAGTGTCCACCAAGCTCATTACAGCGAGATCCCCGTGACTTCATGTCGTAGCGATTGATAGTCCGATTCAATTCACATCAACAAATCTCAACCTCGACTTAGATCCTCTTCCTCTGAAATCTCTGATGTACTATGATCCTTCTCTCCATCCTGACATCAATGCCCCTTTGGGCGGATTCACCTAGGGCTAGGAGTGTTCAAATGGTTACTATGGTAATTACCAAACCAAATAAGCCTAAATTCTATTGACCATGGAATACAATATCATAAACAAACCGTCCAAACTAATACAACAACCAAATAGAACCCTTAACATAAATACATGTAACTAAATTATAGTTAACACATAACAATCAACACAAAATTTTCGGTTAGTGTATAAATTCACAATTTATATAATGAATAACACATAACAATCAACACACAATTATAGTTAACCTTTAACATAAATACATTTAACTAATATAATTATCTTACATTTGAGCATTAAGTATGCATATATAATATATTAGATATATGGTGGCGTATTCGGCGCATCCACTTTTTTGGGTACACTCAGCACACCCGCCTCATAATCATCATTCTGAGCATGCGATTCATGTCAAAATGATATCAATTGTTGCTTATGATATTATGAACAATAAGCCCATGAATTTGAAAAAAAAATAATTTAAGATTTACTTTAATTTGAAGGATTTAGTATTTAGGGGTTTAGGGTTTAGGTTTACAGTTTGGGATTTTGCATTGGGATTCAAAATTGAAGGTTAAGGGGTTAGGGTAATAGATTGATTTGTTATGATTCTATGTCATATCATCATGTTAGATTGAGAGTACTAATTAAAGTTCAAAATTTGATGTATTATGGACACTTTTAGAAATGGGTGCACTGAATGCACCCAAAAAAGTGAGTGCACCGAAGTAGCCACCTTAGATATATAGCTAATTACTTAACTGGTTAATTTGATTTGATTGGTTAGGAGTTTTTGAAATCACACCAAACCATTTAAACCAAACAAGCTAAAAAAATTAACCAAACCACACCAATTATTCAAATTAACCAAACCAAACTATCCAAATACTACCGGTTAAAATGGTTACTACAATAACCACACAGTTTGAACACCCCTAGAATAGATTCACTCACTCAAGACATTCAGCAAGTCTAAACAGTTTTGTAACTTGTCATGTGGAACCGGCTTCATGAACATGTCAACAGGATTGTCCGCGGTGCCAACCTTCTCCACCTTAATCTTTTTCTCTGTCCTCACGAAAGGATACCTCACATCGAAGTGCTAAGTCCTTGGAGAAGTAGTATAAATACTTCTTATACTCGTCTGTAATCATTATCTCCTTAAGTGTAGTAAAAACTGACTCTCTATTGTCCGTGCACTAGCTAACACACATTTTGTTAGTCAACCACGTAAATCGTGTGTTTTGTGTTCGTGCTTTCATTTTCTTCTTTTCCCTTTCCACCTGTGAAACAGGATCGACGGACCAACGTCTTTGGGAAATGAGGAGCAAGGAAGATCTCTCGGATCCAGCTATGATAGTACCGTCGAGGGGATGAGCAGCAGTGGCAGTAGCACCCTCGTTCAGCCGAATGTATCTATTCTGCTTTTGCCTCTTCTTCGATCCTAGCCGAGTCTTGTCTTCTGTTTCCTCGCTGATCATTGTTGAACCAACAAACAGTACACGAATTCAATGAGATTCGATGAAACAAAAGTTGGAGATCCGTGAGTTTCCAACCACCGAATGGTTTGTGAGAGCGATTCTCTTCACAAACCTGTTATGGCCATTGCAAGGGGACGAGGAGTTTGGATAGAAGTAGTCTTAATAGATGAATCCCATCCCCAGACGATTAGGGCGGGCTATTTGGTCCGGACTGTTTGGTTTTACCTGAAATTGGACCGTATAACCCGGACCGGGACCGGACTGGGACTAAATAGCAAACAATCCAATCTCATATTCGGGATTAGATTTTAAGTAAAAAAATCGGATAAAGACTGGATAAGAGACCCCAACACTCAAATTCTCCACAAGCTCAATCTAAACTCAAGATCAAATCGGGACCGGACCTGGTCAAGACCGGACTGTATCCAATCCAATCTTTGATCCTTATATTTCCCAAAAGACCGGACTGAGACCGGATCAATTTGGTCCAATTTAACCGGACTGGACCGTATAGCCACCCCTACAGACGATGATCATGCCACATACATCTGCAGAACCAAAGCATTACACACTTTCTCAACCAAAAGCAATATTATAGATTTGAAGTTTGCACAAATTTATAATAATTTATGTCCGTAAATCACCAATTAATGTTAAGAGTTGTCACGATTCAAACAAAAATTCTCTTAACCAAAGACTCTAATATCGCAAAAAACCAGTTCATCTCAGCGACTACCTTGATATATCAAGCACACTCTATACATGCAACCTCCAAGAAATCTTGTCACCCACCAACCTGTGAATTCGAGCTATAGAAAACATACGTGGTACTTACACTCACTCACGGATCTACATGGTTTACTAGCTATCGGTAACCATTTTGTTAATGTTATGACAGACATATGAATTATCACGGTACTCAATCATCACAAATGAAAAGATACGATTGATCGTTTATATGTTATGGTAAGGTGAAAATAATGATGTTCATAAATAAAGACAATGAACCACATGATTGTACTAAAAAGGTTGTCGATTGGACATTCGATATGGTCGACTTGTTGATCTACAAGTATTACATCAACAACTATTTTGATCATTGATGTCTTTTCTACTTCATCACCAATCTCATGTTGCTATTATCTCGGGTTTACTCACAACTCCTGTTGCGGGCATGCATGGCTAGTTGAATCATTTATACAAAGGGATATTAAATTGAGTAAGCAAATGATTTAATTGATCATGGCTGCTTGTATAACACACTCTCGATTTTGGATGTATGCTAAGCGTGCTAGTTTAAAATTAGATACATACAAATTAATCATCCGTATTTGTTTGATATGGCCCAGAATTAGATACATGCAAATTTCTTATTCTTCCGCGCCATTCTCGCTCTGAAATAAACCATTTCTGTTATCAATGGCGGAAAATCGTTTTAACCCTAGAATGCCCAGCGGAAACACTCATGGACTACTTGCACTGATCTATGATCCCTCATTTCAGATTAACGAAGAAGAAGAGGAAGCTGATCCTACAAATTCCTCCATTGACAAAGAGGAAGCTGATCCTACAGATACCTCTCTTCAGATTGTCAGTGAAGAAGAGGTTATTCCAGAAATTCCCAACCCTCCTGCTCCCGAGATTGAACTTGGTAAGTAGAACTCGATTTACTCTGATTTCTCTGATTCTTCCCAGTCTAAAGAAGAGGTTTCTTTTTCTTTCTTCCTTCTTCTCATCCAGTCGACCACCACAAAAACCCTAAGTTTCTTTTTCCTTCTTTCTCCTTCCCATACAGCGGATTATCAAAAAACGGATTGAGGGACACTGCCGCGTTGGAATCCATTCAAGGAGAGGTGGATGGGGCCATTAAAAGAAAAGCTGGACCCCATGTACAAGCATGACTTGCACGTGAAGATGATAGCTTCCTACGACTACCACAGGGGCACAGTTCTTCCTCATGCCAAAGCCTTCACCGCATGTAGAACTCAGGTACCCGCTCCTTGTTTTCTTTCTTTCTTTCTTGTATTGATTTCATTGTAGGTAATTAAAAGCTGTTTGCTCCCTCCCTTAGATTGTCAATGCCTACTCCAACAATTTGCTTCCAATCCAGAGACTCAGGTAGGTTTTCTCTTGTTTACCCAATTTCATGTTTTTCTTTCCCTTCCACATACTGATAACTGAGACGTTTGTTCTGCAGGGATGCCACTTCTGGCTTGGAATTTGATCCCACGGGAGAATTCTTGGCTTCAGTTAATCGAGTGGGTTGCCTGACGGTCCAAAGGTTTCAAACCCTTCAATATTACAGTGATCACATCGTGCCAAAGACAGGAGGTTTGCTGATTTCCTCCATATAATCAATAGAAGTGGTGGTGGTGCAGGTGGCTGATTTTGGAGCTTTCAAAGTCCAAAATGCCAGACCAACCCAGCTGAAGATGGACTGCAATGTGGCAACTTCGGTTGGGGTTTATCAGGATCGAATGACATCCTAGAGGTGGTCTGTCATCATCCTAAACATAGAGAACATAAATAAGAATGGTACAAAATTCAATGACAATAGATAAAGAGAGTCTTGCATTACTAAAACAGAGGAATTTTGTGGCTTTTGCTCTGCTTCTGCTACTAAAACTCTTATCAAACTTCGCAAAGAGTAATATAATAGCATTATAACTCAAAGGAGCAAACAAAAGTCAAAGAGTGAGGTGGAGGGGATTAGGAATGATACGCTCAAAGCACATTGACCAATGAATTGATTTATTAGGTAAAAGCAGAGAGTGGTGGTGGTGAAAATCACATGGGAGCAATTATATTGGGCCTCTCTCTAATATGATGCAGAGAGACAGGAGGGAGATCAAGAATCCAACAATCATACCTGTACGTATCCAATAGTAACAAGTAAATCTCTTAATCTCCACACTCCTGCAGGTATGGATGGGTTGCGGATGTCCCACATAAACACATTTCCAGAGTGGTCACCCCCAAAGACCTTCTGCAAAGTTAAATGAAAAAAGAGTTCATTAAAAGTCCAAAATCAACATGACTTCAAGTTGGAATTACACATAAAAATGTGTTTTTACAAAACCTGACTATCCTGATGCAACTGGATACTTTTCAGCGAAAGGATGTCATGAACCAGCTCGTGTGTTACGAGCTCCAAACACGGTAAGTAACTCGTTCTTGGATCCCAAACGTTTACTATGCCATTCAAACCCGAACCGTACAATCTACAGTAGTATATTGAATAAAGTTATAAATAAAGCAATAAGAATGAATCTATAAGGCTGGTATTTGAGTGTATTAAACCAACCTGGAATCATCGGATCCATTGAAAGCTACATCAGTAATCCTTGTGCCCCTGTTCAGTCTCAAGACCTATACAAAACAAACAAAAAGACCCCAGTCTCAGCTTAATGTAAATGGAGAAAGAGCCCAATCATCGGATCCAGTAAAAGCTTTATCACTAATTAGAGTTATTTACCGTAAGTGGATCAGAAGAGAAACTAGCAAGGCCATATATGAGGACTTCCCCTAGAAGCATCGAAGTGCAGGCAACCTAGAGGAGACAACCCACTAATTATGAAATTAACAAACAGGACACCAAATACAACCCGAGAATGCACAAATTAACCTGATAACAGACCACCTCTAGGATGTCATTCGATCCTGATAAACCCCAACCGAAGTTGCCACATTGCAGTCCATCTTCAGCTGGGTTGGTCTGGCATTTTGGACTTTGAAAGCTCCAAAATCAGCCACCTGCACCACCACCAATTCTATTGATTTGGAGGAAATCAGCAAACCTCCTGTCTTTCGCACGATGTGATCACTGTAATATCGAAGGGTTTGAAACCTTTGGACCGTCAGGCAACCCACTCGGTTAACTGAAGCCAAGAATTCTCCCGTGGGATCAAATTCCAAGCCAGAAGTGGCATCCCTGCAGAACAAACGTCTCAGTAATCAGTATGTGGAAGTGAAAGAAAAACATGAAATTGGGTAAAAGAAGAGAAAACCTACCAGAGTCTCTGGATTGGAATCAAATTATTGGAGTGGGCATTGACAATCTAAGGGAGGGAGCAAACAGCTTTTAATTAGCTACAATGAAATCAATAGAAGAAAGAAAAGAAAGAAAACAAGGAGCGGGTACTTCAGTTCTACATGGGGTGAAGCCTTCGGCACGAGGAAGAACTGTGCCCCTGTGGTAGTCGTAGGAAGCAATCATCTTCAAGTGCAAGTCATGCTTGTACATGGGATCCAGCTTTCCTTTTAATGGCCCCGTCCACCTCTCCTTGAACGCATTCCAACGCGGCCGTGTCCCCCAATCCGTTTTTTGGTAATCCGCTGTATGGGAAGGAGAAAGAAGGAAAAAGAAACTTAGGGTTTTTGTGGTGGTCGACTGGATGAGAAGAAGGAAGAAAGAAAAAGAAACCTGTTCTTGAAGAATCAGAGAAATTAGAGTAAATCGAGTTCTACTTACCAAGTTCAATCTCGAGAGCAGGAGGGTTGGGAATTTCTGGAATAACTTCTTCTTCTCTGACAATCTGAAGAGAGGTATCTGTAGGATCAGCTTTCTCTTCGTCAATGGAGGAACCTGTAGAATCAGCTTCCTCTTCTTCTTCGTTAATCTGAAATGAGGGATCATAGATCCGTGCCAGTAGTCCACGAGTGTTTCCGCTGGGTATTCTAGGGTTAAAACGACTTTCCGCCATTGATAGCAGAAATGGTTTATTTCAGAGCGAGAATGGCGCGGAAGAAGAAGAAAATGGGACGAAGCCTGCCCATTTTTCCGCGGCGGCGAACAGACTAATGGGGAAGGGCCGAAGGGGGAAGGGGAAGGGGCGAGGGGAAGGGGAAGACGAAACTTATTCGTCTGTAATCCCGCCAGTCCCACCGTTGATTGGAAGGATGATCCAACGGTGTGGAACAGCGATCCGCGTAGTTGAATTAGTTTTTTTCTTTTTTTCTTTTGATAATTCGTTAGTAAGAAGGGTTTATGTGGGCCTGTTGCACCAAAGGTTTGATTGGCCTCTGGTCACTATAAACACCATATTGGGCTGATGGGTTCGGCGCTTTTTCTTTTTGCAGACTAGGCCCAGAACAAAAAAACTCAATGATTAAAGTCACATAAACACAATTATAGACCAATAAGTCACATAAACTCTCGTTACTTCCAGTCGTAATCAGATAGTCCGATTAAAGTTATATAAACATAATAATTATGGAAATCATCTTTGACATTATTAATTACTACCTTGTAGCAGTGCTGCTCATCAATAGCTACATCCCCATTACTACTTTGCCTCGTAGTTTTAAAAATTGTTATCCATCAACTATATACCATATAGAATAGCTTGGTCGGACGTGTGATTTTACCGTCAATTTAAACGGTTAACACTCCACTTCACTGCATATTTTCTTTTCTTCCAAAAGCTAACTTGTATTACCACGAAAGAATAAGATAACAATGTTCAAACAACACGAGTTTATAAACTCGAGAGAAACCAACCACGAAAATCAAAACCCAGAACTCCCGTAGGAAACAAAGAAATGGCTTTCTTAGCCACCAAATGGGGCGCCCAATTGTTTTTCCTACCAACGAATTCCACCTCAAACCGAGCATACTGCTGACGTAACAACTGAATTTCTTCAAGAATGCTACCACCTTTGACATCCCGAACTTCTCTCTCACGTACCTTATCGAGAACAACCTTAGCATCTCTGCGAAATACTACCTCGGTGGGACCCTTCAAAGAGCACCATCGAATCGCATCTCGCAACGCCAAGAGTTCTATACTGTAAGGATCGTCCACACCTGCATAGAGAAATCCCTTCACAAAAACGATACTCCCCTGCCCATCCCGAACGACCAAACCCCCGGCCGAATGTGATCCTTTCGCGACCGCTCCATCCACTGAACAAACAAACCCTGGTGCAGCACCCCTCCAATGAGTTTTTATATTATATATTTCTGGACAATCTATTAACCAATATCATTTTAATGGAGGCTCAATTATCATTATGAAAATGGGATTAATGATACATTTTATATGAGGAAGGTATTTTTCTGAATGTTCGACCTATATATTCATTCTTTATGTAGAATCTCGATCGAATAATTTTCAATAAAGTTAAACAAATTAATAGACTTAAACATAACATAAAAATATAAATATTAAAATATTAACATTCCGGCCAACGAGCTAGATTATAAGCTAGTGAAGAAGTAAGGAAGTTATGGACTAGAGATAAAGCTTGAGGCGTGGGAGGACGGCCTTCAATTTTCTCTTAAGTAGCCAATAGTCAATTGAAATCCCTAATAACAAAGAAGGGGTGCACGACGCACACAAGATAAAAGAAAAGAGTAATAGAAATTTCATTAAGCTGAAGTTGACGACGAACCCCATCATTACAATCCAAGTGAACAAAAACCAAGACTAATTTTTCAAAATAGGCTGAACACATTCACCGAACATGTAGAATATTTTTTTTGTTTTACATGAAGAATATTTTTAGTATCACCTCACATTTTTTTTTGTTAAGGGTGATATAGATAAAATTAATAGGGAAAACAAAAAGAGTGTTGAACAACAAGAAGGGGAAAGCGCAAGACAGGTGCAAGAAAAGGCCATCCGCCACCCAGAAAACAAGCTGGGAGACAGCACAACACTCTCGAAAAAGAACAAGAAAAAACCAGCAGGGCCTAAATGGGCAAGAGTCTTCGTTTCAGCTCACTTAGCCAAGTACCAACCACTTGAAGATCGACCTTTTTAGCAGCAGTCAGCCACCAAAAAACATCATTACCAATCTTGTAGACAACTTGGCGGGTCGTCGCTTCTGTGTCTTCGAAGATTCTCTTATTCCTTTCTAACCAAATCGCCCAGCAAACAGCATGAATAGCAATCCTCGAACACCAATGACATGGATCCTTAGAATCCCCAAATCGCCACTTCTTAATTCTTTCCGAAATATCCTCCGCGGCAACAGCAGGTCCTTCGATCTTGATGAAACACTTCAGGATATTCCACACATCGACGGAGAACTTGCAGTTGATGAAAATGTGGTCCACCGATTCTTCTTCTTCCTTACACAACGCGCACCGGTTGGGAAAGCTATAACCCTTCTTCCTTAGGGTAATGTCTATTTGGCTAATAATTTTTTTTATTACTCAGGAATCTCAGCCCCACGTGCTACTTTGTAACAACGAGTCCTATTAAACTTGGGGTCACCTGTATTCAATTTGACGTCAATGGGGCTTCACTCCCAATAGCCTTATACCTTCGGAAATACCAACAAGCCTCACTTGGATTCGAACCTGAGATCTACAACTCCCAAACCTTCATTATCGCGATGGTTAGACTAGGTATTGTGGAAAATAATTGAAAAGAAGGAAGACACCAGCGAAGAGTTCGAGTTCGACAAGGAATATGAGTATTACGAATATTAGGCAAAATACATTTTCATAGCCATAATTATTCGCGTTGTGACAATAATAGCCACTTTTTGAAAAATACACTAAAATAGCCATTCCGTCCAAAACTTTAACGAAATTATAAAGATGCTGACTGTACTAACGATTTTGCCTGACATGACATTTTTTTTGTTAAAACTATGCCAGGTGGAATTATGAATTTTCTTATTATAATTACATAAATAAATAAAAAAAGAAAACCCATCTATTCCTCTGCCGTCGTTGGCGACCTCTTTTCTTCTTTCACGATGGTGAGTCTCCAGTCTTGCTCTTCCCAATTCGGACTCGGATTTCGCCCTTTGGATATCTCTAAAAAATCCAGATCTTATTTTCAAGCTTTATCCCGACAAAATCCAGATCTACTTTGTTGCATTCTGTGGAAATGAGTAAAGAAGCGGAAGAGTTCAATAAGCTGCTATTTCTCTTCCAGCTCATGGCATCCTCCGCCATCTCTGCCGCTTCCGAGGCCACGATTGGAGGTAGCTGCATTGAGGAAGGAGGTGGAGAGAGCGGCGCCGGAGCTCGGTAACCACCGCCGCCTACTCTTCTACATCTTCTCCGGCTTCTTCACTAAGCTAAGGGGAACTGGGTCTGGGCGATGGCGGTTGGCTGGTGGTGGAGAGGGAGATGGAGATGGGTTGGTGGGGTCAAGGTCGCACCTCTGGCGATTCTGCCTCTCGTGTCTCAATGGTAAAGAGAGAAGCACAATCCCCCCATTTAACAACTGAAAATCGACGATTTGGTCTCTTGTTCTCCAATCGCCTCATCCTTCCTTCATCCATGGTGCAAAAATTTGTGATTCTAGGGAGCAGAAAGCTGCTAGATCTAGAGTGTCTGAGTTTAAAATGGGCTGGGCAACAAAATAATAAAGAGGGAGACTCGTGTTTTCAGATTCAGGTGATTTTTTCCGGCCAGAGAATGATACGGCGCCGAAGATTTAAGGAAGAAAGCAACGAATTCCTAAATGGAAGGAAAGCTCGTGCCTCCCGAGCGTCACTGCGCTTTGCCGAGTCACTGAGTCGGCGGGATGAATGTTTCATCGGTTTCTTCTATTTTGCCTCAGAACAGAAGGCCACCGTCGCTGCCGTCGGCAGTCGCTACTTGAGAAGATGAAGTCCCATTGTATTTGTACCTCAGATCTATAAAAGAGAAGGAAAATTAAAGAAAATTAAAAGTTACTGAAATAATACTTTATTTCTAGAAAATTATTTTTTGGAATTATCTTTATTGTTTAAAATATGATGTGGCATCCACGTGTCCTGGTCAAGTCTAGTTGGAAATGATGTGTCGTCCCAGTGGCATACACGTCAGCTTAACATCCATTTAACTGACGGCGTCTCTGACGACGTGAAAGTTTGTAACGGAAATGGCTAAAGTTGTCATTCTAGTTTTAAAATTGTGACTATATTTGTGTATTTTTTGAAATTTGGCTATTATTGTCACAAAGTGGATAGTTATGGCTATGGAAGTGTATTAAGCCCGAATATTATGATAAATTGATAATAGAATAGACAGAAACGTTTCGATTCTTTAGGAGGAGATAGAGACTATGGCTCCAGCGGGAAATAGGGTTTTGTGGCTCTTCCACCTTGGGCTATCCGTCGTTCTCCCGCCCTCCTGGTCGTCCCCCGCCGCCACCGACGGCTACATATCCACCGCTGTCTACGGCCATCTTCTCACTCCCGCCACCAGAAAACCACCGCTCCGTCCAAAGGCAAACCGTCGTGGCCCAATCAGCAAACTCGGAGACGATCTCCTCCTGTCGATTCTGATTCGCCTCCCGAACGCTAGATCCGCCTTCCAGTGCAAATCCGTCTGCAAGCGGTGGTGCTCACTCATCTCCAGTCCTCACTTCGGCCGCAGTTTCGTTTCTCACCGTCAACAGAGCAGGATCGACGGCGGCGGCGGTGAACTACTTCCTTTAACCTCACGCGACACTGAATCCATCTTGAGCTTTCTCCCCGTGCCTGATGAGGTCCGATCCAATTTCGTACTTTTGGGTTGCTTCAAGGATTTGGTTTTATGCGGCTTCGATGACTCTGCTGTTGGGAATGATCTTGATGGCGAGATGGGGAGATTGTTCTTCGTCTGCAATCCGTTTACAAAGCAATGGGTCGCCCTTCCTCTGGCGCCCAAAAGGTCAGTCGGGTATCAGAACAAATGTTTAGTCTCTGAGAATTTGGATTCTGGAGATGAGGATGATTGTCGATTCCGAGTCGTCCTTGTTTCTGGATCACCTGACCGTGCAATAGTAGACTTGTTTTGTTCGGAGTCAGGGGAATGGATGGAAGACGCCATGGCTCCTCCTGATTCTGGTTCTTCCACACAGATGATGCTGGGGGATGTGATTCCCTTGTGGAATGGGACCTTGTGTTGGCTGTCCGATGACATGCTTGGATTTTGTGTGTGGAATCCATTCTGCCCACACACGCTTCCGACTTCCATCATTGAATCGCCGAACAGCGGGAGTTATTCCTGGTTGTTCAGTGCCTTAGCGAAGCGCACGATTTGGGTCTCACTTGGTGTTTTACACATAGTTTTTCACCTTCAGGAACAGCATTGTTTGTCTATGTGGAGATGGGAGGAAGACAATAGAAGATGGTGTTTTCTTTACAATGGCTTTGTGGCGGATTACATCATTAACCGTGAGTATGTACAATTTAAGGGTTTGAAGGCGCATGATGTAGTTGGCATTCATCCGAGTAAGCCCGAAACCATCTTCTTGGAGTGTCGTCGTCCTTCTGATGTCGCGCCTATTGTGGTCGAGTGCAACATGAGGACGGGAGAGATGGAGGTCTTCACCGATAGAGGGAATTGGGGTGGGTTGTTCCAGCCGAGGTTCACTTGCTGGCCTTCCCCAATTCCGGGCTACGAGAAGCTGCGAACTATGTGTGATGGCCAAAGAATCACCACGAATGGCTACTCATGATTGTTAGAACTTCTCTTTTCTTGGTTTGTGTCGACTGATTTCAAGTTTTTTCCTTCTCCTGTATAACCAGTAATTTAAGTCTAAGATGACACATGCGTGAATGACTGAACAGAATGCTCAGAATGTATGAATTGGGGACACTTGCAGAGTCGCAGAAATTTGTCTGTTGTTGGTCATTCCTTGTACAAGCTTTCTTTCCAATCCTTGGTTTCTCTTTTCACTCTTTCAGTTCCCGGTTTGCTTGCTAAGAGAACAGAGGGAACCAACAAGCTATCGTCTTTCTCACGAACCAATAATCCCATTTTGCTTCCCCTCCCCAAATCCCACCTGTAGTATAGGTAAGAAGAAACACCCTCGTTCAGCCGAATGTATCTGTTCTGTTTTTGCCTCTTCCTCGAATCCGGGCCGAGTCTTGTTCTCTGTTTCCTCACTGATCATTGTTGGACCAACAAACATTACACAAATTCAATTAGATTCAATGAAACAACAGCAAGAGATCGGCGAGTTTTCCATGAGTGAATGGTTTCTGAACTAGTAATTATAAGCGCTATAATAAAATCAGGTGGCCTACCCCATTATAACAAATATTCCTCATTGGCGTGTATGTTAAAAAAGCTAGCTCTCAAACCCAAGTTATAGGGTTTGAATCACACACACAAACATACCTTACTTTTTCAGTTTAATTACTATGCAAAATACACTTTATAGCCAAAACCTTCACGCTCGGTGTTATCTAATAGGGTGTCTAGACTAACAGTAACGATTGACGTGACATATTTTATTCAGAAATAATAACAGGTGGAAAGTCACTTAAATTTTATCCTTTAAATTCAATTAAATTAAATAAAAAATATACAAAAACAATAATTTCATCCTCACCACCGCCGGTTCTCCTTCCCATCTTCGAAATCGCCGCCGCTGTTATCTCGTTCTCTCCGATTTCCTCATCTCTGCATCAACGAACAACAATAAAAAGATTACCTACAAACAAAACCCTTTCTTCTCTTCTCCTCTCATCTTTATCGTCTTCTTTCTCTCTTTTCTTTTTTTTTTTTTGTCGAAAAGTTGACGCATTGCGTCTAGTGCATAGTATTCAAAGAACGTTCTTGGGCAATGCCCATTACATCGTAGTAAAGCCAATACCTAAGCCCCGAGTCACACACATCGAAAGAATGTGTACCAAAAGGGGAGTCGTGCCCAACATTAGCAAGATAGTCAGCGGCACAGTTAGACTCTCTATACACATGAGAGATTCTGATCTCCCAATCCAGGTTCAAAAGGTTCCTAAATATGGCTGCCGTTTGCCCATGTTTATGATCATCCTCCGAGTGGTTGTTAATGATCAAAATAGCCGTCTCCGAATCCCGGTGAAGCTCAATTTTTTTGTACCCTTCTACCCACGCAATCTTCAGCCCCTCCATTGCACCTTTCAACTCCGCATGCGTAATCGAGCAGCTTCCCAAATTGCAGACAAAAGCTCGAGGACACCTACCGAGATGGTCACGGAAGAGGCCACCTGCAGCCGCCTTTCCTGAGTCTTGATGAACCGATCCGTCGCTCTAGATTTGTATCCATTCAGGGTGTGGTGGCTTCCAAGCAATCTCCTTCGTCTGCAGCACCCTCCTGAGTTCATTCGTTATGTTCTCCCAGAATGTATGCGCGTTCTGACGATGTTAAACCAGGCTCTAATCCTACAAAGAAGGCCCTGCTCCGAGTAATTCTTCCCATCTAAGACTTCTTCATTCCTCTGTTTTCAAAGGTGCCAATATATAAACCCGAAATCAATGCCCTTGTCGTCGTCCAGCATGTTCCTCATGAGCCATTCTTCTAGTGGAAGCTGGAAGTTTCTTTCCACCATTCTATGTCTAAGCTTGCACCAAATCTCTCTTGCTTTGCTGCAGTTGCGAAGGATATGTTCAATTGTCTCTCCTTCCTCGTTGCAATGGTTGCACTTGTCAGAATTGGCGATCTTCCTTCTTTTGCGTTCATGGTTGGTCATCAGACGGTCATGAAAAACGAGCCATAAGAAGTGCTTAACCATGTTGGGTCCCTTCCACTTCCAGATTCCTTTCCAGCTTGTGTCAGTATCTTCTCCTTCATCACTAGCGACTGCCAGGTAGTAAGCAGACTTCAGTCTGAAGCGCCCATCAGCTTAGGAGGTTCACATCCTAAGGCATGAAGGAATATCACGTACCACATATGGGTGAGTATTTGAATCACATGAATTAAAAATGACAAAAAATACTTCATCATTAGTAGAGTAAAGAGACCACGTGGGGGGTGAAATGGATCACCCCACCACTATATCATTTTCATGGGAGCCGGCGTTGGTGACCCCCCACCCCCTGATCATACCATGGGGGTGGTATGTTGGTGGTCCCATAACACCTCCCGGGGGGGGGGGGGGGGGGGGGCTCCTTGCCACCCTCATCATCTTCCATACTTAACCACATTTTTCTTATTCTCGTCTCATCAGGGTCATGGGGGTGGTGATATGATACTCACCCCCCTTGGTACCTCTTGAGGGTGGAGACATGACCGTGGGTATGATGCCCACCCCCCCTTGCCATGTTCTGGTGGTGGCAGGATGATGCCCAACACACCCCCCCTGCCACGTCCTAGGGGTGGTATGATGGTGGCCACCCCCTTTACTACGTCCCGGGGGTCCCAACATTTAATCAAATTTTGAAATTGATGGCAAGGGTGGCGCGCAAAGTGGCTTTAGCATAGGTGTCATGGACCCAAAAATCCAATCCACGTTGCCCACTTAATTGATTTAAACATTTATAATTAAGTTGACCTTATAAAATCTTTTAACTCTTTATTTGTAACCGATGTAGCACAAAGTTAATTTTTATGGGTAAACAACACTCTAACTTCTCCGGCCAAGCTATCATCAAGTCGGCTGGCAGATGGGTCCAAGACACCAAAACTTCCATGAAAAAAAATGTGAAATAGGGAATGAATCCGAAATTTGGAGGACTGGATTGGATTGGTATCAAAGCTTGGAATTTATTCCAACCACATGCATTCAGTTTCTGCGCAGGCAGTCGGCAGAGACAGCGGCAAAGGACCGCCGGACCACCTCAAAACCTGGCAAATGGGAAGCCACCGATATTATTCCTTCCTTCCTTTTCACTCCCAAAACTTTTAAAAATATACTAAAATTGTGGAGATATTGAAAACCCCATCCTGACATCTGCCCCTCCACCCTTTAATGGCTTCACGTGAAGTGTCTCGTCTGTTTCTAACCTTCCCCATGTTTACATGTCTCTTCACTCTTCCCCTATTTCTACAATATTCACGTCGAAGGCAGGAGCAGGAGGCCAAAATTAAATTTGGTAAGTTTTCAATCTAACCCCTAGTGTTTCACTAATAGTTATTTTTGTGTACCAATTAAGTTACATACTATCCCACAACACATATATAATTGTGTGACTTGATGGATTAAGTTATATACGATATTTCGATACTCGATAATATATCAAGAGAGGAGATTATTTCGAAAATATATTGCATCGTATGCTGCAGAATGTTCTATGACCAAAGAACCAGAAGCATATAGTACAATGGTGATGATTAGGGTGGTCGTATATGATCGATCTCCTTCGACTCCCTCATTCGATTCTCTGCACTCTCTGTGATAGTCCGGTTAATAAGGTGTTAGATGTCAGTATTCTATTGTTTGCTGACTATCCCACTGAACGCATAAATGTATAACATGATTGATTAAGTTTCGTTGTTGAAGTAAAAATGTTGATCAAGATATTTTACCAAGGAATAATATTGCACTATGTATGGCGAATGTTCCCATGACAAAAGAACCCAAATAGTACACTCTCAATAAAACAGTAGTAACTTATTGACTTCAGAGTTGCGTTTAACGAGCTAAATTAAACCATTAACTAACCTATATCATTATGCTAATCATACTCAGCAGTACATTCGATTAATTAATAACCTTCTCTCCTTTGAAAGTTTACTACACATAACATATATATATAGTAACAACATTTCATATACATAATAAATACATTACAAGAACTTAATAATAAAAAAGCGGTTTTAACCCTTTTTTTTTACTTTTATCTCTCACTGTTTACCCAAACACCGTCGTTTCAGCGGGCTGCCGCAGAGACAGTCATTGAACTCAAACGACGCCGCTTCGAGGTGGTCAAACGGCGATCCGGCGGGAATCTTCCCGCACAAATGGTTGTAGCTCAGATCCAAATGGCCGATGTACGACGCCGCCGCGATGGACGGTGGGATCCCGCCGGTCAGCCGGTTCCGGGACAGATCCAGCACCGTAAAATACGACCGGGGGCCAAACTCCGGCAGCTTCCCGTCCAGCGCGTTCCGGCTCAGGTTCAGATTCGTAACCGACGAGCTGAGCAGATCGGCGGGGATCCCGCCGGTGATCCGGTTCCCATCCAAATTCAACGTCGCGAGGACGGCCATCCGCCCCAGCGACTGTGGGATCCCACCGGAGAGGCGGTTGAGGGAAAGGTCGAGATCGGCCAGCCGGTAGATTCGGGAAACCGAGTCGGGGATCGAACCGGCTAGGAAATTCCGGCTCAGGAGGGCCCGGCTCAGCATCCTGAGCCGGCCGAAATCGGACGGGATCGAACCGTAGAACCGGTTGTTCCGGAGGTCGAGGTGCATCAACCCGGTCAGGTTCGTGAGCGACCGGGGGATCCGGCCGGTGATCCGGTTGTCGGCCACGTTGAGCACGGTGAGGCGGTGGAGCCGGCCGATGTCGGAGGGGAGCTGGCCGGTGAGCCGGTTCCCGATGAGGTCGAGGATGCGTAGGAACGGGAGCGATGCGACGCATTTGGGGATCTCGCCCGAGATCCCCTTCCAGTCTGCGATGGTCAGGCTGGAGAGCCTTTTCAGCCCGCAGATGGCCGGGGAGATGGTCCCGGTCATGTAACCGGTCCGACCGGCCTTCTGAAAAATCGGGTCCTCCGACTCGCCCCGAAGGTTTATGTCCGCGACCCGGTTGGTTTCCGGGTCGCAGCTGATACCGTACCAGTTGTGGCAGCAGTCCGGTCCGGTCCATGACTTGAAGATGCCGAGGTGGGGCTCGTGGAGGGAGGATTTGAAAGCCATGAGGGCGGCTCGGTCGGACGGCGGGCAGGCGGTGGTGGTGGCGGCGGCGAGGAGGAGGTGGAGGAGGGTGAGGAGGAGGGGAATGTGGCGGAGTGCAGCCATGGTTTTGGGGTTGGGTTTACCGGCGATGGCCGGGAGGGGTAGATGGGTCTTTTTTGGTACGGGGGGAGAGGAGTGTGTATGGGGAGTAGTGTTTGACTGATTTTTTTGAGTCGTGGTCTAGGGGTTTATATATAGGCCCGGGATGTGGGTTGTTTACGGTTTTGCCCCTAACGTGTATGATTGGGGGATGGCGGGGAATATTTTCGGGGTTTTGGGGATTTGATCGGAATTATAATGTGGACAATATTTATGGAGGGATTAATTGTTTGCATGTGGGAGGAAATTTGGGACAATCTCAATCTGCCACATATGGTATTATGAGATGGTTGCTACCTTTGTCATTCTAAATATAAAATTTGAGAATTTGAGGTGATTGAGAATATGTCATCTTTAATTTACGAGTAGATTGTGGTTCAACCGTGTGTTAAATTGTTAAAAGGAATGGATGGTGTCAATTTCAGACTCACTTTGATGAATAGTAAGTAGATCTCGTCTCACTGAACTTAACGTCATTCTTGATCTATAACAATTACATTATGTTACAAATAACAAAATTTGAACGAGATAAGCTAAAAAAAATATCCACATTTAAATCAATCGTTGGAAAGGTGCTAGTGTCATACCAACTATTCTATTTTCAGAATTTATTACAAATTTTACATATAAGTTTACGTGGAGCTATAGTCCTCTCCGAACTTAATGCGGCTTCATTATTATAAACGACCGAAATATATCGAAATAGAGAAGATAGAAGTCAAATGTACGTGTGTAACTTCTAGTGGATAAAGATGAGGTAATAATATGCATGTGTAAGTAATCAACATTTTGTGTACTATATGACTTAAATTGTCTACGATATTCATCACGGCAGTCATTAATGATTTACATGTATATCACCGAATTCGTTGAATTTGCAATCCCATCCTCGTACGTACACAAGTTGTCTGTACTTTTGCTTAAAGGTTTCTCCATTATTCTCATGGATCACCTCTCATTCGATTTTTACCATTTCAGTTGATCGACACCTAACCTTCAACCCTTCACTTACATGTCCAAACTTACTTTCACTATTACCTTTGCTTTTTTTCTTGGCAGCTGTACTGGAGTAAAAACAAAAAAGCATATGTGATCTACTAATAAGACAAGGTTGTAATATAATGTCATGATTGAGCCTAAAATCTTGAAGAAGGGAAGGCTATTTTAACCCTTCATCTTTCCACTTTTTAATACTTCCTCAGTATATGAATACAAATGTTAGGAGGAAAGTATAGTCTTTTTTGGCTTCAACATAACTCATCATCCACTGGCATACGTTATTATAATCTCAAATCAAAATTGAGGAGGTTGTACTTCTTAAACTACTTGTATGTTGATATGACTTGAATCGAATTATATGTTGCCAATCAGAAGTCACGAGATATATTCTCGCTGTCAGGTCAGCTAGTCGGGGTTCAATTAGGAGGCTTGTGTGGGAGCAAGGGGGTTCAGGTGTATGGGCTTATACATGTTAGGGTTTCGGTTCTGGACCTGGTCTGTCTTTAACCTTGCTATTAACCATAAAGGATTAAATTTATGTCGTCATGGAGAAGTACGTACTATATATACTTCTCAATCCCTCCGTAATCGGTAATCTTTCTCGAGTATAGTGAAACTGATTATCTCCAGCTGCCTGTGGACTAACTAACACGCATTGTGTCACATAAATATGTACTGTGTGCTCTTTATTTTCTTAAATTGTCGATTATCCCAATACGTTCTCATCACGACAGTTTCGCTTCCTATTGTAACTCGTATACATGGGGAAAATGAAGGGGATTACTTGTTATTGCATGCGGTGTAGTGATGATAAGGAAATCATATAGTTACATTATCGACTTAGTTAGCCGATTGGAACAGTAGATCGAGCAGAGTTAGACATGCATGAAAACGAAGGACGATGACAAAGATGGGTTGGGTTTGTTACGTTGTGGATATCTCAAAGCTAGGAATTGAAAGAACGGCCGAGCGTGTATGGTGGGCGGGCGGGCCTGGGTGGGAGATGAACCAACCAACCAAAACAATGGAGGAGGAGGCGGTTCGACATTGGAACGTGCATGGCCGTCCACAACCACTGAGGTGGTGGACTGGTGGTTGGTCCAGTACACTATTCCATCTTTTCTTCATTCAAAGTTTTGGTTTACTTAGGTCCCGCGCTCTGATACCACTTGTTATAATCGGGCTGGCTTATTAGTATAATATTGTTCGCTTTGGGCCAAGCCCGAATGGTTTTACTCTTGGGTTGGGTGTCCTACCTGGAAAAGGCCTCGTACTAATGAGCTTGGTGGACACTAATATACAAGGGTTCCTTCCCTTGTATTACCGATGTGGTACTTGGATTGTCCATTAACATCAAGATCGGCTTCCACGATTCTCGGTGTCTTATACTTGGCGGAACCTTTGGAGTTAGCTAGCAATTCATTTGGCTGGCGTTTTTCATCCTTTTAGTGTTTATTTTTCACTTTATTTATAGGGACTAACATAGCTGCCCATTTAGTGACTAAAATGACTCTTTCATCGACATATCGATTAGTAATGACTGCCGCGTTTAATTGCTTTGTTGTTCTCTAACTATTCGTTGCCACTATTTATGACAACAACAAAAAAAAGACTTCTATTTATTTATTCTTATGAAATGTGGTTCGAGTTTCGATATATAATAGTACTAACTAACTCTTTTTTTTTATCATTGTGGTACGATAACGATGATATATTACGATGGTACGAAAAGAGATTTTACAAGTTCATACATAACAAAGGGTTAGATTATACTATCGAGTCACTCTCACTCGGATGAAGAGCGGAGGCCATTATGCGGCTACGTGGTTCTTTCAAGTCCCCATATATCTTATAAATTCGCGTCTGCGAGGAGCTGCCCAAAAGGTCTGTTTTTGGCCTGGTTTGGTCCCATTTTTTGCACCTTTCTTAAAAACATTTTTAGAGGCTCAAATTAAATCAGGTAACCAATCATTCTTAATGTTGTGTAATCATAATCCTATGTTGTTAACATGTCACACCTTCGTATAAATCATGACCATCATTATTCGTTTGTATAATATATAGTTTCGTCAAAATCGAACCGTTTTTCATACGTACTTACTTTTTTTCTCAATTTTTTCCTTTCTTCTAAAACATCCGTGGTTTATGTAACCTTAAAGAATAATATAATGATTCGACCAATAATAATGTCATTTCTGAATGTCAATTATTCGTGTGTTTAGTTATCCGATCTATCCGATCGTTACGAACGAATTTCGAGCTAAACTAATTGTCAACATCATTCCCATTCCTACTCAGATCTAACGCTTGTGAAAGAGATAATAGGGAGATTTTGAGATTTGTAGTACTAATGGACAAGAAGAGCTGGTGGATGGCAAGTCCCTCTCAGAAGTCTGAATCTCTGTGTCTCCTTTTATTTAAGGGTTCTTCATGGGTTCTGGATCTGGTCTTATCAGGAACTAACTTCTTCTATTATCATAACAAGACTGCCAAAACAGAACACGATGGCAAAACTCAAAACACCCACAATCCTCTGCACACTGCCACATCGAGATTCAAGCTGGTTAAACAGTTTATAATATACTGCTGCAAGTGACAGCTCGACTGCGCCTAAAGATACAGTCATTAACAGCAGGATCGATACAGCCAGCCAGCCAGACAGCAAGTCAAGTTAAAACCTTTAATTAGAGCAATAATTTATAGGTTTGTTGTCAGGAACAAATGCCAGCCGATTAATACAAAGCTGGGTTTTGGTTGATTTGCGTCATAGTTAAGAAGACTATGGGTGTTTGAATTATGAGATTAATTAGCTCATTTTTAATAACATGCATGATTGGGAACAAGCATGTGGCTCATCATGTGCTCTGCGATATGTATTTCTGGCCCCATGGAACAAGAAGATCTTTCCCAGCATTTTGGTTTTTATCAATTAAATGATGGGAGGTAACCCGTCACCTCAACCGATAATAATAGAGATATGAAAATTGTTTCCTCTTTCTCCTATTTGAGTCAAATACCAACGATGATTTTGTAACTTAGTCGCATCATGAATTTAATTAAAGATGTAAATTTAACAATGTTCAAAGTTCATATTTCCTTGAGCAGACCAAAGGGGAGGAGAGAGAGAGAGAGAGAGAGAGAGAGAGAGAGAGAGAGAGAGCATAATATGATAAGTTAAGCAACCATCAATTGAATAACGCAAACCACTAGCCAAAAAAAAAAAAAAGGGGAAAAAAAAAGATCCCAGGCAAGAATCTACAAATCCTATCTAAAACAAAGTAGGCAGTATCTGGGGGAATCAACAACAGGAAATCCGAAGTCAACCTGGAGAAGGAGGAGACCCAGAATCCTAGGAACCCGCAACCTGCTCTGCTTTCGCTCTTTTCCTAATGCAGGGTGAGTGAGACATGGCGTTAAACATGGAGATTTAACCACACTTAAGTTCCATTCATGCTCTGTCTCTCTCTCTTGTGAGAACCTTCCTTCTTTCCTCGGTTCTCCATCGATCAGCTCGCTCCACAAATCAAGCACCAAATTTGGTAATGGATTCAACACTTGGCCAAAAACATACACATGTGAGTCACCAGATTGAGAAGCTAGTGGGTAACCAATGACCATCCTTTGTAGGCGAAGGATTTCCAGGGGCCATGTTCCCCCAAATTGAATTGCTTAATACGATGGTCGGCTCAGTGCATGTTACATGCTCTTACCCCTCTTGGCTGCAGCAGTTCCCCCACACGGCATATGCAGTTGTCGACATAGCTATAAGCCTATATAGCCTTTCTGATCAAGCGCAGCCAGTCCATACCGACTCGACTCGAAACGGACTGATATGACCACCCTTCACAGCAGTCCTTTCTCCAGCCTCGACTTACATCGACTCGCAACAACACCATAGTGACCCAAATCCATCATTGCTGGTGTTTTGTGCTCTCGGTATGTTAGCTCTAGGAGATCTACGCAGCCAACATTAGCATATTTGTACAATTAATTGATATCAAACGAGGTAGCTTTATCTTAATCTACCTGACCTCAAATGCCGCGGAGTAAGCCCGAGATCCTGCAGGCTACAGCCCACGTTCGAGCAAGAACTGTACATCGCGAGCCTCGAGCTTAATTCTCAACCTTGCAAAATGGAGTCCCATGGCGGTCAACTCTGACCAAAAAAGTTGTCAACTTGCTCTTCGACTGTTGAAGAAAGTCAACGGTGAAGTCGAGCGGCCTGATGTAGATGAGCCGCACTATCGAGCTGCGGTGGTGGCAAGGTATGGAAGAACATTGGAACCGAATTCTGGACTTGCTTCGGAACCATGCTCTGTGATTGCCCAGGATTAAGATCAGACATTTCCTGCCGAGAAACCAGAGACATCGTCAAATGACACAAATGTTTGAAAATCATTAGGAACTCCTCAGATTTAACACGGAATAGGGGTGTGCAGCGACTCTGGATGATAACAAACAGAATTGGCATTTGGATCGCATCAGGCAATAGATCTTCTAACAACAACGAATGAAAAAGGAAGACTGACTCAAAACCTGACAATATCAAAAGGATCAAGACTTTGGTCATTATTTTTCCAGTGTTTTCCATCCAGTTCTATGCCGATCCGATTGCAGACCATGCACACCCCCTTATATATCACATACCACTAGATTGAAAGCTTCCAGTGTTCTGACACTTTTAGTAGCACCCGACTGAGCAACCTGCTGCATACAAGAAATCAAAACACTTAGCAAACAGCCAGTCGAGAACAGATACAAAGTCCCCAACTACATCATATAACCAAGAAACCAACCTTTCCTTTGGTTCCCTTCTCCTTTCCAGTTTCTGACAATCGAGGAGCCTTGTTGCTCGATATCACAATGTCCAACTGAGGTTCAGATTCTCTCTCGACAGATACATTCTCTTCTTCACCAGAGTGATTCACACTCCCACATTGCTTCAAACCCTCTCTAATAGCAGAAAGTGCAATGTTGTAACTCTCCTGGGAGAGTGACCCTTCTTCTCCCAATATTATAGCTCTACGACACAAATCATTGAACCTTCTCACCCTTTCCTGCACTTCATCCAACTTCCCACTAACCGGCTTTCTACTTCTAGCAGCATTCGTCCACCTCTGCAACACATACTTTGATGGAATACTGAACACACCAGACATCTGAAGAACTACAATGCCATGCCTGCACAGATAACCTTTAAACTCGAATGAACGACACGAACAACATATCTCTGATCCTTTAACATTCCACTCCACCACATAATTCTGATCATCCTCAAAATCCTTCACAGCATACACCGTGGTGGTAGTCCTCTCATCCTCGCTCTCTTTCTTCAGATGACAAGCTGCTGCTCCCAAAACCTCCAGCTGGAACTTTGTGAATATCTCATGTGTATAGATGAGATGCACCTGCTTCTCAAATGGGGATGGCGATTTCAACTCGGGGACCTCATGCCACGCATCAAAATCTGCTTTGGCTTCTTCCTCGTACATGTCTTCCAGAATCGCTTTATACTGTTCTACAAACTCATTCACCGAAGTGTCTCCTTGCACATACTTGTCGAATTTAGAGTTCAAGCTCTCGGCTCGTGAGTATGCAGAGAGACTAGCAAAGGTCACATCTCTAAAAAAAGTAGGCACCCAAAGTCGCCGATCTTCGTACAATGACTGAAACCATTCCACCTCTCTGACATGGAATTTGTCGACCAATTTCCACCATCTCTTCTCGAACTGCTCCTCTGTCCATGATTTAAAAACACACTTATGAAACTTCACAGTGAAGGCATCATTCCACAGGCTGAAATACTCGAGCTGCCGGGGGACCTTCTCCAGGATGTAATAGAGACAAAAGCAATGTTGAGTTCTCGGAAAGACTGCTGCAACTGCAGTCTTGATCTCATTACTCTGATCGGTGAGCATAACTCGAGGACCTCGATCCCCCATAGCCACTGACCAGGTCTGCAGCAACCAAACGAAAGTATAGACCGTCTCATCAGCGATCAACCCACACCCAAGCAATGTCGGCTGAACATGATGATTCGATCCAACGAAAAGAACCAGAGGTATCCGATACTTGTTCGTGAAATACGTGGTGTCCAAGCACACCACATCACCAAAGTTGTTGAAATCTTCCATTCCCTTGGCGTCGACCCAGAACAAGTTCCTCAGCTGGTGCTGCTCGTTCAAATCAACAGCGTAGTAGAACTTCGGATTCTCTTCCTGCATCCGAGTAAACGTCTCGAGCAAGACCTGAGCATCACCTGATTCTAACACCAAGCGCCTTCCTTTATCGTGCTGACTCCTCATGTAGCCATCGAGACAGTCCAAATTCTGATACGCCCCAAACAATTTGGAGGACCCAGAGCCGCTGCCGCCGTTCTTCTTCCTACGAACGCGAGAATCGCTGCCGTTGTCGAGGGGATAAGTGGCGGTGGCACTGTTTTTATGGCTCCTGAAGAAGTGAGCTTGAGCGGGCAAGAGCTCGTGGTTGTGCTCTTTGACAAAGCTGTGAATGTACCATTTCCCGTCCTGCCTCCTCTTCACGTGCATGCTCGCCTTGCAGCCGATCTTCGGAGACGGCCGTGGGTTGATCGCGTCGTCGGACTGCTGCTTGCTGCCGTACCGGATGCAGGAGAATTTGGCGTCGATGAATTCCTTGGACGCCCTGGACCTCCTGCTGCTCAATTTCGCGGTCCCGAAACCTACGGACCTCGCGTACTCTTTGTAGGACGAGTACGCTTCGTCGTGCGAGTCGAATTCCATGTCCTCCCGCAGCTCGGAGGCTCCACTGCCGGCGGCGCTTTCGCGAAGATCCATTTCTTTTCGCAGCGCGAAATCAGTTCATCCCACCAATAACTCAAATTCAAACGGAGAAGAACCAATTGCAAGCGAGATTCAACCTAATCTATACTCGGGGGATAGCTCTCCTATACCCATTTGTTCGCCGACGGAGTTACAGATGGAATGAGGAAATCGAAAGATGGGGGAATACGGCGATTAGATACCTGGAGAAACGAAAAATCCGGCGGAATGGGGACGAAGGGGGAATGCCGGAGAAGGACGGAGGAAGGAAGGGGTAGGGTGGTCGGGGATCGCCGTTAGGGTTTCCGGTCCGCCGTCGCGAGGGAGGAGGAGGAATTAGCAGAGAGGTTTTCTTTTCTTTCTCGCCTACTCGCTTGGCGGTTTCTCGCGTCTTCACGCGTCAGCTGGCGGGAGACACGTGGTGGAGTGAGGGCTGCTTTTGTAATTTCGCGCGTTTGGTTCCCGGGATATCTTGGGGAGGACGACAATGCGAGTGGGATTTGCACGTGGGCAAGGCAAACGTTCGATTAACCAGAGTTGATTAATTGGTTAATTTTCATCTTTTTTTAATGTATATGTTTCACTTTACCATTTCATTTAATATTTAACTTCTGATTAAACTTGCCAGTGAATCAATTGGGGGAGGAATGAATTGAGAAATTGGGATCGAGATATGTACGTAAAAAATGGCGATAGTAAAACGACGAGGAGAAAACGACCGCACGATTATTGGGCTTTTGGCTTCGATTAGACTACCCAGGAAGATAGAAAGGAATAATGCAAAGTTGATGCCCATATCCAGTGGACTTTTGTTTAAGTGGGCTGGGTTATAAAGCGTCCAAACATCATTTCTTTCGACATGTCCAGTTAGAAAACAAATTGTAGCAAAGGCAAAATTCTAGTTTTTTTTTTTTTTTTTTTCATAGATAGATCATAATAGATAGGGTATTACAGTTCAGCAGAAATGAAAGAGCGGTAGTCAACCAAAAGGGTCGCTACCGATGCAAGGGCCGTTTGTGCCACGCGATGGGCAGCCCTGTTAGTTCTACAAGGAGCAAATACAAAAGTAATAAAAGCAAAAGAAGACTTCAACTTCCGCACTTCCTCAAGCACCGCTCCTCCGCGGTCATGGTTGACATCATTCTCCAGTGCACGGCGGATGACCAGTTGGGAATCACCACAGAAACAAACAGCAGAAAAACCGCAATTAATACTCCATAGCATTGCATCCCGCAAAGCTAATAATTCCAACAGGAATGGGTCCCAAATGCCCTCGTAAAACTTACCGTACGCACAAACCAAAGAATGGTCGCTAGCAAATCCGACGAATCCAATGCTTCCTCCAATCCCTCGTCTCGTCGCACCATCGAATCGGACAAGAAGTCCACTGGGCGGGCAGGATGGATCCGCTACTGGTTGCCTGAACTGCCGTGGCCTCGGAGCAATCTCCCTCGCCAGCGCAGATGCCTCCCTCCATTCCGTGACCTGCCTGTTGTACTGCCTAAAGAGTGGACCTGGAAGGTATTGTATTTTGTCATATACTGACCAACACCGACCTTTCCAAATGCGCCAAGTGAGGAAAACCACTTCTGCAATTTGTAATTTGGATAGCTGCATAGAAAAGAAAAGATCATGCCAAGCAACATCATTTCCCACAGTAGCCATGGCCAGCCGAATTTGTTCTTTCCCAGCTAGAGCCCAAATGGCTCTACTTATCCTGCACTCAAAGAAACAATGAGATATGGTTTCCGCACCATTTGAACAGACCAAACAAGTATCAGAGTCACAGAGGTGCTTCCCTTTAAGAATGGCTTGCATTGGGAGAAATCCTCTTACCACCCGCCAAAGGAAAAACTTGAGTTTCGGGGGGATCGGCAGGCTCCATAGCATCTTCCAGAATTGCGTGTTGAGGTGAGGTGAAAGCTGATCATACTGAAGCTGTCTACTGGATGCTTGCAACTGATAGCCTGTTTTAACGGTATATTGACCAGAAGGATCATAGTGCCAAATAAGCTTGTCCGGTTGAGGCGCCGCTGGAATTGGGATGGAGAGGATCCATGACACACTCTCAGGAGTAAAAGACGCCCGAATGAAATCTATATTCCAAGTTCTAGTGAGCGGATGAATGAGGCCGGCCACAAATGGACTAGGCAGCGAGATCCCGGGAAGCAGGGACGGTGCCGAGGGAGGAGTCGAAGGTAACCAGATATCTTCTAGGGTGCGGATTGCTGATCCACAGCCTACTTGCCACCGCAGCCCGAGTTTCAACAACTCTCGACCTTCAAGCACACCTTGCCAAGCCCAAGACGGCCGTGACCCAGCTGGCGCAGACAAGAAGTCAGAGTGAGGGTGGTAACGCGCTTTGTACACTCTCGCAAGTAGAGAATCTGTTGACTGCAGAATCTTCCAAGCTTGTTTACCGAGCATTGCAACATTGAATAGGTCAAAATCCCGAAAGCCAAGACCGCCATGAAATTTACTGACACAAATCGCCGGCCAAGAGATCCAGTGCATTCCCCTCTCCTTATCTTGGCCAGCCCACCAGAATCGAGCAAGCTGGCTATTTAACCTGCGACACGAAGTTGACGGCAGACGGAAGGAGAACATAGTATAGACCGGCAAGGCTGACCCAACTGCCTTGAGCAAGACTTCCTTCGCAGCGAGGGAAAGCGATTTGGACCGCCAACTTTGAATGCGGACAGCAAGGTTCTCTTCAACAAACTGGAAAGTTTGAACTTTGGACCGCTGAATTTGAGCCGGGAGACCCAAGTACCTGTCAAGAGGGCCAATGGTTGATATGCCCAGGATGTTAGCCAGGATAATCTTCTCATGATCATTAACATTGGCACTGAAACAGACTGAAGATTTTTGCAGATTTATGCGCTGACCACTAGCCTCCTCAAATGGGCGCAATAACTGCAGCAAGTTCTCGCATTCCGTTGTAGTTGCACGCAGGAATAGATATGTGTCATCGGCGAAGCAAAGATGGGAGATAGTTGGTGCAAGTCGATGAACCTTCAAGCCATGTAACTGCTGTGCTCCAATTGCATTAAGAAGTAGAGTAGAGAAGGCCTCTGTATATATAGCAAACAGCAGGGGTGAGAGAGGGTCGCCTTGCCGTATACCCCGATGAGGTCGAAAATAACCATGTTCTTGACCATTGAGTAGCACCGTGAACGAAACTGTAGTCACACAAGATTTAATCCATTTCATCCATTGAGGGCCGAAACCCAAAGCCTCCATAACTGCAAATAGAAAACCCCATTCCACCCGGTCGTATGCCTTTTCCATATCCAATTTGAGCGCCATCCACTTATCCCGACCATTGGTCTTCGTCTTAAGAAATTGCATGACTTCCTGAGCGATGAGGATGTTATCGGATATATCTCTCCCCTTGACGAAGCCATTTTGTGAATCCGAGATCACCGAGGGAAGGATAGTACTCAGTCTAGTTGTGAGGATCTTGGAAAGTATCTTGTAGAACACCTGACATAGACTGATCGGCCTCATTTGCTTCATCATCTCAGCATTGGGCACCTTCGGGATTAGAGTGATAATGGTATGGTTGAAGTTCTGTAGCAAGCGGCCTGACCGGAAGAAAGACAGAGCTGCCCTGCATACGGAGTCTCCGATGATATCCCAATACGATTGAAAAAAGGCTCCTGTTAGCCCATCCGACCCCGGAGCTTGTCCAGGACCAATGCTGAATGCTGCTGCTCTAATATCCTCCCGAGTAATAGGAGCAGCCAGGTAGGAATTCTGGGCAAAATTCTAGTTATTTGAATGAGTTAATTTTTATTTCCCATAGATAATGATAATATTCATTCAATATTTTCTTTATAAATTGTAACGATAGATAATAAAGGACAAAAAATTTCTTCGATTATTGTTTCAACATTTTCTTCGATTCTTGTTTCAACATTGTACATTCGAGTACTAGAGTCTGGAGGTTAGCAATGAGGTGGGTTGAGATGGCAAATGAGGTCAGACATTTCAACTCGCATATACGGAAGACTGATATACATCAAGTAAGAGCTTTGCAGAACATGAGGTAATACAAAGCAATCTAAGAACACTTTTGGTGGGAATAAAAAGCAATTCTATCTATCGTAAATTAAAAACATTGGAACTTAGATCATATTGAAAATCAAATAATTGTAATATATTTATCGAGTAGTGGCATAAAAGTTTTCACCTCTTTCTAACTTTTTCCTCCATGCTACACCAAACTTCTCACTCGATAACGACAAGTCTTTGATCTTACCATTAGATCAAAATCCATGACAAGATGTCCTAGCATTTCTTGAACAACAAGATGCTCTTAGTCGTTTAACAAGATACTAGCTAGTTTTCTTAACATTTGACTTCCAATTCAACCAAAAGAAGGGACTTCAAATGGTTCCTTCCACCCACCTTTTGTCATTATTTAAAATCGATCATTACAAGTGGAACACCCTAACAATAAAAAGATGTAAAGCAACACCACCACCAACAACAAAAAGGTGGTGTGGTGGAAATGGAATGATGAATGGCTGCACACCAAGATACAAGATTTTGATGCCAAATTAAGTAAAAAATTGATGGGTTTGCTTGAAGGTTTAGTTTGGGAAAGAATCTTATTCGAGTTGGGATACAGTAAAACCCCTCCTCCAAAAGCAAAGTGAAAAAAAAGTGCTCAAGAAAGGAATTACATGAATATAGGCCTCTTTACAAACTTTGGCCTCCTTTTGATCCTCTCTTGTCCCATTTCTTTGCTATTCTCAGCTCTTGTCTTGTTCTAGCTAGGAACAGTCATTGCTTTTCTGCCTTTGTTCCATCTTTTTGGGTTTGTCATCTTTATGTATCTATTAGTTTGGCTTGGAGTTTCATGAGTTGAAGCTAAGGGGAGAATCTCTAAACTGCGCACATATAATGCACTTGATTCGGGTACATTTTTTTTCTGTTGTGCCAAAAATCCAACACCACACCTTCAAAGTCATCGCACTCTTTGATGATCATTGAATTATTTTAGTTTTCTCCCCATAAACGCTGCAACTACCCAGTTGACCATTCTCCCTTTCTCTCTCTCTCTCTAGCCTTCATTGTCTATTATCCTTCTCTACCAGACTTGTACTAGATGTGGTATGAAACTGTGAACAGAGTAAAAATCTGAAAATGACTCTATGTTTGTGAGTAGAGGTGGCAATTTCAATCCAATCCACCAATCCAATCCATCAATCCATTAAAAATATCCACCTAATCCAATCCATTTAAATTCAATCCATTTGATCCAAATCCAATTGGATTGGTGGATTCATGGATTGGATCCATGGATCATTGGCAAATTACGGTTTAGTACCTAAAATTTTTATTTTTTACATTTTGGTACTTAAAATTTTATTTTTTATACGAAAAATATCA